GGCCGCTCTGCCCCCGGAACGGGTGCTCTTCTGCCACACCCACCCCCTCCCCGCGGCTCTGCCAACTGTGCACCAGAGGACCTTAGGGAATCGGACCTGTGATTAGGATGGTGACGCCAGTCTGAGGTGCAGAGTGGCCTGTACGTGTCCTTCCTGGGCCAGGGAGCGCCAGGTGCCTCATGGGAAGGGATGGCCTCCGGCCCCAATGGGCCTGGCCTGGCCTGGCCTTGGCTCCCCAGGCACTGTGACCACACTGAAAACGTACACAGAGGCCTTGGGAAAGAAGGGTCCTAGGAAGGGATTGCGCTGAGTCTGATGATTCCCTCCTTGCCGTGCGGAGCCTGTGTGTGGTTTGCAGGCTGTCGGGGCTCCTTGCAGGGGAGGCCGCTGTCTGAACAGACTCTGCAGCAGGCCTGGGGGTGGCCACCTGCCCTGTCCTTTAATCACCTTGTTGCTTGTAGAGGACATGGTGCAACACAAGGAACCCAAACCAATCAAGAAATTGCAGCCTCTCAGGATGACAGTTATGCTGAGACCTGAGCACCGGAAACAAGTGTCCAGGCCTGTGAGGGTCCAGGGGAGCCTGTGAGGGTCCAGGGGAGCCTGCTCCTGACAGCTGGTGGGGAGTCGCAGGTGGGAGGGGTAGAGGGCGTAGTTGGGGGCCGGGGAGCAGGAGTTGTAGCCACTGGTCTGGGCCTTGCTGGGGCCGGGAAGGGCGTGTCCCTGCCCCCACCCCCGGCCAATGCCCTCATCCTTCACAGCAGCTCCTTCCTCAGCGGGCAGTCGTGCCTTCTACCTGGGCAGCAAGCAGGCTCTGAGCAGGGGCTCCCTCAGGCTTCCGATCCGTGTCCCCGCCTTCCTCTTGCCCCAGGGAGGGTCTCTGTCGAGGCACCTTCCTGTCGTGGGAAGCCCACGCCCTTGGCCTTGAGGATTTCCCATCTCCTCCAGAGCCCCTGCTCTCAACTCAAGTCCCTCCCACCCTGCTCACCCGCTCTTGCTACCTTGCCCCTCTCCAGAATAGCGTCCCCTCTTCTGTCCCCTGTGATCAGGCTTCTGTCACTCCTCCTCCCAAAAGGGTGATGATGGTGGCGGTGATGACGGTGATGATGACGACCTCCTTGCACACGCCCTATAGACCATTGGCTTTTGAGTGTTCCCAGTGCCCTGTTTCAGGGTTGCGACCTTGGTTCCCAGTTGGTCTCTCCTTTAACTGGCTGGGAACCTACTGAGGGCAGGGACCAGTTGTAATTCTCAGTGTATCCCCAGGACCCATCTCAGTACTTGACCCTTGAAATGTGTTTACCAAGTGATGGTTGCTGTGCTGAATTGACTCAATGAATTAAACAGCCACTAATAATGGCTAAGATACCTGGGTACTGCCTAGAGTTGCCTCTACGCTCTACCACTCCTTGTGTGACTTTGTGCAAGTTCACTGAACCCCTCAGCTTCCGCTTTCTCATCTGTAAAATGGGTTGCTAGCACCCACCTCATAAGGTTGTGGTGAACTTTTAACTAGATGATCAAAGTGGGGGAATAAGCCCAGGACTCAGCGAGTGTCAGCTGTTGTCAGTGGTCCTTGCGCAGCTGTGACTGGCCGCACACGTGAACTTAGGACAACAAAAACGAGGGCGATACCATCAGGGAAAATCAAAGACAGCTTATGTGTCAGCAGGACACCCCAAGAAATCTCTTCTCGCTGATGGTGATAAAACAGCCACAGACAGCTTGTAGGCTGGATGGTGCAGTGTTTGGGGAAGGCTGTTCCAAAAAAAACCTTTTTAATTAAAAAAAAAATCTGTTTTACAAATATTCAGAATAGGCCTTGAGAGAGCTGCCATCGAAATATATTTTTCTTTAGCAAAGTCCCCTTTATCTAAAATCTGTTTTTTTTTTTTGGTTTGGTTTTGGTTTTTTTTTTAAAACAAACATGGGTTTGGGCCTGTTGTTGTTATTTTTACCTTTTCTAAGCTTTTGATTGACATCGTTGCTGCCCATGGAGTGACAGAACAGGGCGGGGGTGTCAACAAAAAGAGGGGGCCTTGTTTTTAAAGAGAGAAAAACAGTCTTGAGAGGATGTTTACCCAGGGTCGGTGGGTTTGCTGAATTAGCTCAGTAAGGTAGCCAGCGATTAATAATGGTTAAGATACCCAGGCACAGAGCAGTGTTCAGGGTGACTCAGCCGACTCCCAGTGAATCAGCCTTAGCTTTTCTGCTGTGAAGCCAACGGAAGCGCCCGCCTCCCAGAGGGAAGGCAAGACCGTCCCAGGGGCTTGCTCCTCACGTCGGTGGGGCTTCTGCAGGAAGGCCCTGGACACCTGGTTCCCAGCTGCGCGCCCGGCTGGCCCCCAAGGCCTTGAGTCGGCCGTCTGGGCAGGGTCTGGGTAGGGCCTGGGTGCCCCCAGGTAATTGCTGCAGGGATCGAAGGCCCACAGTTTGCAAACTACCAGCAACAGAGGTTCTGTGGCCTCCACAGGAGGAGGGTGCAGACTGGAACCGGCCCCCTGCCGGGCGGCGACCACCCACAGCCGCTTCCTGTGCCGCCTGCGCAGGCTCTGGCCGAGCCACCACTCTGGGTCTGGCGGCCCTCTTTTTTCAGGGGCCCCAAACACACGGTGAACTCGTCTTTCTTCAGGCCCCTGCCCATCCGACCGGGCACAGGGCAGGGGCGCCCTCAGGGCCTTGTGGCCTTTAAGCCTTCATGGTGTCACCTAGTCAATGCCTGTTTCTGTTTTGTTTGTTTCCTCCAAGTGCAAAGCAGGGGCGCCACCTCAGTACTTCTGAGCCCGTGGCAGTCCCCACGCCCGCGACCTCGTTGGAGGAGGAAAGGCACCTAGTGTGTGCTTCTCAAGGAAACGGGCCGTTCTCCTCTCTGCACCTCCAGTGGGCTCCACTCCAGGGCTGGGCTGCACCCGGGAGTGGTGGCCAACGGCAGTTGCCTGTGAACCGGTCTGGGCAGAATGCCCCTGCCATCCCCCACCCCCAGTCCCCCAATGCTCCCCCACCTGTTGCCCCTCCCCCTCCCCAGGCCACTAGTCCAGCCTCTCCGGCACCTGGGACGCCCTAGCCTCTCCCAGCTGCTCCCTGCGCAGGGGGCGGTGCAGAAGCACTTCTGTTTGGTTTGATGCCCGCTGGGTGGCTTTGAGACTGTGCTCTCAGGAGAAACTGCTGCCTCTGGACCGTGTGCTGCGGGCGGGGCAGGCCGCGCTTCCCGAAGCTGCGATGCGATGGCTTCCCCAGAGAAAACCTTTTTTTCTTCCTCCAAGCGCAGAGGAGGGTGACAGGGGAAGGGGGCATTCCTGTCATCGGTACAGTATAGAAGCAGGAGGGCACCCTTGGGTAGAGGGTCCTTGCTGTGTGGCCGGGCCTCAGCCTGATGCCGGGAGGCTGGGCGGGGCAGGGCCCGCCTGCAGCCCAGGCGCGGGGGTGAGGGGGCGCCTGAACCTGGCCCTGAACGGCCACGGACACAGGAAGGAAGAAGTGAGTCCTGCCTTTGGTCCTTAATCTCCTCCAGAACCAGTGGAGAGGAGGCCAGTGGGCGGGGCATGGGCTTGTGGGCGTGGCCAGCCGAGGCCAGGATGCGGGGTGGGAGGGCCTTGTGAGCTTGCACCCCGCTGGCTGGACACCCGCTGAGAGTGCCCACTCCTCGGAGTGCGGCGAGGAAGGCCTGACTGAAGTGCTGGCACACTGTTAGGTCCCGCAAAGCAGGCTCCGCTGTCTCCAGAGGCTGCGTCACTTTTAGTGAATAGCCTGCGCGCCCCTACGGCCTGACCTCCTGGTGTTAAACAGGACAAGGGTCTCAAGGTCTCGGCCATGCTTCCTAAATGCCATTCTTGCTAAATGGCAAAATGTAGCAGACCAGCTGTGACCAGGATGACACCTGAGAGGAACCCAGCCCAGTAAGCAGAGCCGACGGAAATCAGTGTGTAATTGACCAACTAGCCCATGTAAGCCAGGTGAAGCCCCCTTCCCCCCCCCCCCCGCCCCCCCGCCCCGGGGCACAGAGCTTCAGATGGACATCGTCTCCTTGCTGCAAGTAAAAACAGCTTCCTTGTGACAACCGCGGCTCCCTTTGGAACAGAGCACCCCAAGGGGCGAACCCCTGGGTTCGGTAGCACTGGTAGATGTCCAGTTGTGCCGAGACCCTTCCAGAAGCGCTGCGGGGGAGCCGGAACCCAGGGCAGCCCGCAGCCAGCATCTGCAGAACAGGCTTCAGGGTCTTTGAGTCGGTGTTGGCCACAAGGCCTGCAGTTTGAAATGCTTCCTGAGCTTTAAAAATCCTTTTTTAACATGTGGAAAATACAAGTTTGTTTTACTGTTGATGCTTTTGGTCAGTGAGGACTGCAAGGAAGGGCGTGAACAGCAAACTTCTTTCCAGAACAGTTAGTTCTGGCTACTTGTTCCGCTCTAAATTTAATCCGAAACCTACATCTCCGCGGCTGGCGTGCTACTCGCTGTATGGGAAGCGTCTGTGGACAAATGAGCATAATAGTTGGAGTGAATTAGCAAGTCTGGAGAGGAGAGCCCATCAGCAGAATGACAAATTTAGGATCTTTAAAGACATCTGGTCAGCGATGCCGCAGCACGTGACCGACTGAGTGGTTAATGATGGAAAGCCAGTGTTTCCGCCCTCCTCGCCCCCTGCCCCAGCCTGGGCTGGTGTGGGCTCCAGGCAGTTCCAGATGAACAATGGAGGCCTTTGACCTCTGTGAGTTTAAGGTTTCAGTTGTCCCACTTATCCAAATGATCTGAGTGTTTGCTAATTATAAAGTCCGCTGATTTCCTTTCACACTTGGTACAACTCCCTTCGCGTTACCAAATGCAGCCCAAGGCCCACTGCTGGCCGAGGTCTTCCTCCTCAGGGTCACCCTAGACTACAGCTCAAGTTCATTGTCAGGCACTCCCTCGGGGGCGCAAGCAATGGGACAGGTCGACAGGGCTGAAGCAGCCATTGCCCCAGTTCCCGGGACCCACGTCTGATCCTGCGGTGGCTTTTTCCCCAGACTCAGGCAGCTGGACAAGCACAGCCAGGCCACCGCCCATCAGCTGGTGCAGCTACTCCACAAGCAGAACCAGCTCCTGCTGGAGAGGCAGACCCTGTCGGAGGAGGTGGAGCGGCTGAGATCCCAGGTACTGTGCTCACCCAGGGCCAGGTGGGGCCGTCGGGGGGCTCACCCTCCAGGGGACACGCTGGGGTCCACGCGCGGCTCTTCATCTCATTCCAGTTTCATGGCTGCATTTTAACCGGCAGCTGATAAAACCAGGAGGGTGGTCCCAAACACTGTGTGGGGCACCAGGCGGGCCCAGGGAAATGTGGGGTGCGGGCCCGTCCTCCTGAGCGAGTTGAAGTGGGTGCCAGAGCACAGGCCCAAGAATGAAGAAGCCACACCATTCGCTGAGCGGCACCTTGGGGCTGCGGGAGGCGGGGCCTGGAGAGGTGTGGCTTGGCTCAGGGGGTTGGAGCATCGTCCTGTAGACCGAAAAGTCACGGGTTCGATTTCGATCAGGGCACATACCCAAGTTGTGGGTCCAATCCGCAGCTGGCGCGTAGAGAAGGCGACGGATGATGTTTCTCTCTCACGTTGATGTTTCTATCTCTTTCTATCTCTCTCCCTTCCTCTCTCAAATTTCAAAGCAATGAAAGAAAAACATCCTTGGGTGAGGATAAAAAAAAAAAAAATGAACGAACAAAAAAAGAGTAACTTGCCAACATGCTCAACAATCCAGAGCACAAGGGTTTGAGTGCTAGCAGCGTCCCAGGCAGCCCCTACCTTTCCCCTGCAGGATGGGTCATTGTCTCCATGCTACAGGTGGGGAAACTGAGGCTCAAGCAAGCACATGCAGCTAGCAAGGAGGGACGCTGACGTGGAGCTTGTCTGACTCCATAGCCCAGGCGCTCCCTGCCCCGGTGAGATCGTAGATAGTGGAGGAAAGAAAGCACGTCCCAGTGAGTCAGGAGCACGAGATGCAGCCTTTGTTCCTGAATCGCTTCTCTTCCAGTGGGAGAGGCCGAGCTTTCACCCAATCCAGCAGTTTGTTGGGCAACGAGGTGGTCCGCCACCGCCTGTCATTAGGCGTGCACCCAGGTGCTCCCTGAGTACCCGGGGGACGTCACATGCACGTGTCTGGAATGATTCATGGGACAATGCATCTGGAAATGAAAAGGATGAGAAATTGTCTCTCATTGTCCATTCAAAATGACCATGTGCCAAATGGATATCAGGGAGCCACTGTCCTCTGAGCGAGTTTTCCCGCTCAGCCCACCAAATCGCTCTGCAAAGTGCTCATTTGTTTCACAGATAGGAGGTGAACATCCCCACGCCCACACACACCCCCGTGCCAGTCACTGAGCTGAGGCCCGGGGACAAGCACACGCCTGTACTGTCCCCTGTGCCTCTGAGGCTGCTCACAGGGAAGGGGGGTGAATGCAGCCCAAAGTCAGGGGCAGGGACCACACGCCAGTCGTCGGAGGTGCTGTGAAGAAACAAACACAAGGACCACGGCTACCAGGGCCGCCGCTCACACACGCCACAGAGGCACCTCTGGGACCAGGGCCCAGGGGCCTGCAGTGTAACAAGCCGTTTGGGTCATCCTGGGGACACGGACGTCTGAGGGCCCCTGAGGTGTTTGCAGGCAGGAAGAACAGGGGATGATTCCAGACTGTGTCAGGTCGTGAAGCCCTGAGCAAGTCACTGACGTTTCTGCCGAGCTTCCGTTTCCCATCTGCACATTTACGCGTCAGACCAGCCCAGCTCAAAGGGGCACCGGAGCGGGGAACAGCCATGCATAGTGCACCGGAGAAATGTCAGGCTTTCCTCTCTCTCTCTCTCCTCCCAAACTTAAGGGGCCCCCGAGAAGCCCAGGGAAGGCAGAGGCTGTGTGGCGCCCGCAGCAGCGGACAAGGCTCACCCTGCCCTGCACCCCGCCCCCGGCTTCTCAGATGGGCTGAGAACCTGACTGTCCAACCCATCCTGCAGGACACCCTGGGAGGTGCCGGCCAAAGGTCAGGGCACTGGGCCTTCGGAAAGGTGACCAGGCTCCTGCCTGGGAGCGGGGAGGGACTGTGACTCACCGCGTGAATGAGTCTCGGCTTCTCAGGGCCAGAAGCCACCTAAGAAGCAGACTGTGGGGCGTCCTCTCTCTGTGATGGTTCCGTCTCAGTTCTGGACCAGAAACTATCCCATGGAGTTTGCTTTTTAAGTCCCCATCTGCCCACTTACGTCCACTTGAACTTCCCCTGGACCATCGATGCTTAGAAAACTCTTCCAGGTCTTTACAAGTCTCATAGTGGCCAAATGAAAAACTTAAGAAAAAACCCCAAACCTCAAAAAATCCTCAGAAAAACAAGCAGATCTTTCTTCCCTTGCCTGAAGCAACAAAAACAGTTTGACCGTCCTATGCTGTCTCATATTAGCCAATCTGGCTGCTCTCTGGAAGTGTCTTTCTAACTCACATGCTACATGGGGGAATAATTTAAATATGAACATGACAAAAGAAGCTTGGTAGAGAACTACTGGCTTGTAGTAGCAAATATGGGTGTTCAAAGAGGAGGCAGGAGCCCAGGTTTACGGGCTCTCGGCTGAATATCTAAACCAAAGGCCTGCTCTTCCCACCCAAGTGGGAGTTTCACTGCTTCAGCTGTAGAATGAACTTGACTTGTGAGCCTTGTTTCCAGGAGCCCTTGAAGCGAGGAAGGCTGCCGCTTGGCCCAGGAATTTCAGACGACAAGGCCTTCTGAGGGCTCTGCAGTGATCAAGCACAGTCCCGATGTTCCTGGACAGTTCTCTGCCTCATCTCTGGTTTCAGGATTTTTTTTAGCTAAAGGCGTCCATTTTCTCAGCCTGGATGAATTAAACACAATCACTTAATTTCGCATGTCAGTGACAAACTCTGAAAACCTTTGTCCACAATATGCAAAAGAGCGTGGATATTTTCTGGCCTGGGCAGCTACTCTGAGCTGTCACCTCCCCTAGTTTGTTCCCCTGTACTGAGCCCTGTGCCCTGAAGCAGGGGACAGGGCCCCGGGCTGGCCTGTGGCCTCTGACAGGAAACATCTAGTCTGCTTAGGAGGCTTGATGATTCTACATCGTTTCTGCTTAGCCTGAAATGTGCACCCCAACACGTCTGGCAGAGGGAGCTGGTCGTAGGCCTAACTGTGCCGCGGGGACATTGTTGGCCCTGAGAAGTCCCATCTCACCCTTAGGCGTGGCTGTAGCGAGGGAGCCAGTCTGGTCAGAGTGGGCCGGCCCCGGGGGCTGACCCCGGGGCTGTGGCTCAGGGTGCGGCAGCCACTAAGCTCAAGGCTTCTTTCTTGACTTGCTCTTCATTTTACTACTGACTAAAAACAACGAATCTGTGAATTGCCTGCCTCACTTGGGGTGGGAGAGGCTTTAGGAAATGGCTTTTAAAATGTCGCGAGATGCGCGACCGGTCCTTGCGGTGGGACAGGGCGCTGGCAGCACTCACCGGCCTTGCTGCCAGTGTCCTCCTCCGCTGCAGGTCCAGGGCGCGCTGAGGCAGCCCGCCCGGGGGGAGGGCCTGGTGTCCGGGACAGGAACCTGGGTCCTGGGGAGTCTAGGCGAGGCCTGCCAGCTGGGAGTGGGGCGGGCGTCTGATACCCAGCGCCTTGGGGCGCTAACCTCTGGCCAGGAAGGGTGGTGCCCGCCGGTGAGGAAATTAGAATCCTATGTGGGGAATGGCCGGCGTCTGAGAGATGGAAAGGAACAACTGAAGTTGTCTGTCCACGTAGAGGACTGTCTCATTCATCACGATCACTTTATTTGTTGATGTATTTATCTGGTGATGTATGTGCTTTTGGTTGATTTGAGTTTTCTGATAGCAGCCGTCCCAATAGGCTGTTTGGTTCTGTCCCCAGGGCTTGGTCCGGAGAGGGGTCCTTTTTAGTCCCTTCAGATGACTTCCTTCTTACAGTTTCTAAAATGGCCTCTGAATACTGACTTTTCTGTGATGACTCTGTGGGCCCTATGACTTGTGAGCCCCCTTGGCCGTGAATTTAATTTCCAATTTGACGTAAACGTGTGTGCGGACCCAGCAGCCCCATGTGATTCTATTCAAAATCATGGGCCTGATCTTGTTACACCAAAGGATGCGTGGGAAAGAGCTGAAAAACCAGCTCGAGGAACAAAGACCCAGGAGATGATGAAGGGAAACAGGCCCGTTTGTCACCGGAAGCCAAGGGCGGGGGCAGCTTCAGAAACGAGGGCTCGCGTGAGGCCACTGTGAGGCGGGGGCCACCTGGGAGGAGGTGCCCGCCCAGTGCCTTGTGCAAGGCCCAGAGTTGGGACGCGGAGGCGTCCGCAGGGTTTGTGGGGTCATCCCCAGAGGACGCAGGCTCTTCCGTGAAGGTAGCTACCTGAAGACAGATGGTGCTTGAATAGCACAGCAAATACACCACATAAAATAAATTAAAAAGCCTCCTCCTGAACCAAGATTTTTTTTTTTTTGGAACGAATTCTAAATAGATGAAAACAAACAATTTGATTTCAACCAAATTGTTGTTTTTTTGTTTTTATCCTGATTTTCACCCGAATTGTCAGTCTCAAAAATAAACACTGATACATTCCCAGAAAATATTTTTCAAATAAAAACTGACTCTGTTAAAGTTTGCCCTGATTCTTTCAAAACTGTGTACAAGACACTGTCAACCAAAGTGACTTGCATATTTTTTTAAATATACTTGAACATATGCAGCTCAAATGTCATTAACTCCCTGCTGCCTGAGTGTTTGCAAAGATGACATCAGACCCCAGCGCCATGCTCCTCACGTGTGGGTTGCGGGACGTCAGAGAAACTTCCCTGAGCAACTTGAATAGCACCGTCTAACTTTCTGGTTTTTAAACTGCAAGCCTGGCATGTCACTATTATTGGAAAGTGCATACGGCTTTGTTGAAGCCGAACTTGCTCTCTTGTTAACAGTTCCCTTTGTCCAAGAGTGAATGATCTCCGAATAAGACCCATGGGAGAAAAATGAACTGAAACGTATATCGCTTCAGATACATGTGCTCCGTGGAGTGCTTCCCCAGTCAGACATTACATTTTGCAATATAAATTCACAATCAAGATTTTAAAGGGAGCTAAATATTTTAATCCAATTAGACAAGTGAACAAAACACTGAATATTACATGCAGAGTAGATAGATAAGTGGTTCTTGCCTTTAAAAGACTGTAATTCCGTCACATTGCAACCCCAAATGTCAATGTTGTCTTTATTTTCAACGCTTTCCAGCACGCGGCAGCCAGCGGCGCCTCTCTCTGCTGTGGGTGACACTGTCTGTCCTTTGGGAATCCTTACACTCTGTTTACCATGGAAACATGGTTCATATAAAACACAGACACCTGCCCCTGTGCAGAGGATGCTTCGCGACTTCTGGGGATCCAGAAAGCAGGGGGGTGCAAACCCGGGGCCCAGAGACTCACAGAGGGAACGTGGAGTTAGAGCGAGCTCTGGGGACAGCAGAGAGCCAAGCAGATGCCAGGCCCCGGGGCATGCGTGTCCTCTGACTGACCCCTCTCCTCTGGGGACAGGTCCCCTGCCTCCCCCCAAGTCCAGTCCCAAGATGCTGTTCACCAGAAAGCCAAGGAATCAGGTCCCCCGCTCTGTACAAATAAGGTTCTCCAGCCTCTAGCTTCTCGGGTTTGTGGCTTCCACAGTTCTTGTCACTTCGTGAAGCCCTAGAGGTAGCACAGCCAGGTCCTTCCTTGTCATGGCTGCCGCCCGCCCAGGAGGGAAGAAGGAGCTGGGGCCGTGACCCCACCGTGACCTCCTGCCTGTTTTGCAGCTGGCAACAGGCAGGTTCCACGAGAGGCCGTGCCCAGCAGAGGGGGGAGGGGCCCAGCCAGAGTTTCAGTAACTTGTGTGTGTGTGGGGGGCAGGGGTTGGAGGAAGGAAGGGCCCCACCGACCCAGAGGTGGCCGGGGGCCCTGGGCCCTGTGCTGGGCGGGAAGCCACTGCTGTCACAGGTCAGCACTCACATGTCAGGCCACCTTTCCACAAGGTCCTGCAAAGGCTGCTGAGGGCACTGCCCCCGGAACAGATCGGTTCTGCCCCGGTTCCCTCTGCAGGTGTGTTCAGTCTTGGTGGCCTGTTCAGTGCCTGTGACTCGATCACACAAACGCAGCCTTGGTTGCTCACGGGCCTTCACCGCGCTGCTCAGAACAGTATTAAACAGCCCAGACTCCCAGTTGCCTGGGTTCAAATCTCAGCTGGGCACCACTTACAGGAAATTCTTTAGCTCCCGTATCACTCAGTTTCTGGTTTAAACAAGCAGTAGAACCAGCTTCCCTTTAAAGGGGAAGCCCCCACATCACCCGGCGCACAGCAGAGACGGCAGGGAGCCCCCAGCGTTGGCGCTGAGCTGGGTGTGGCCGTGAAGGGGCCGCGGGGAAAAAATCATGTAGCAACTTTCTTGTACAGATAGAAAAGTAAGGCCCAGAGAGGTAACGTGAACAGAACTGCCAAGTCAGTGGGTAGCAAACAAATTTCTAGAGAGACGGGTATTCGTCCCTGGGCCAAGGCCGGGTGGGCGGGGCGGGCGTCCACCCCACGGCGGGAAGGCTGGTCCGTGGGGCCCCGGCGGGGCCCTGGGAGTGTGGACAGAGCCGCAGAAGGGCGGGCTGCTGCGGTCCTGGAGCTCAGTCAGCCCTGGGCGAGCTTTGAAATGCCCCACAAGGGTGGGGGGATCTGCCCTCTAGTTAAAAATAGGCGCTTTCTTGCCAGAGGCCCCAGGACAGGACCATTTGTGACCCAGGCACACAGAGGCAGAAGCAGCCCAGGAGTGAGGGGGAGAGCGGGCAGCAGGGTGGTCCGCCCGCAGGGGCCGCTGAGAGGCTGGGAGGAGACCTGGCCTGCGGCCGAGCACCTCCCGTGAGCAGGCCCGGCGGGTGCCCTGAACCCCGCCCACCCACGTCGGGGCCGAAGCCGCAGAAAGGCTCCCCTGGCCCCCACAGCGGGGTTGCCTGGGCCGCAGCGGGGGTCATCCGGAGCCTCCTTTCTTTACAACTCTGAGTTTGAACTCAAACTTGAGAAATACGTTAGGCACAAAAGTCAGGGTTTGCAGAGGGAAGGCTCGGTTAGGATTGAAAATGAGAACAAAGAACGTGGGCCGCATCGGTGGGCTGGCTGATGGGAGCGGGGATGACAGCTGCGGACAGGCTTTCAGGAGAGCCGCTGCCAGGGCGCCCCGCGGGCCCCCCCTAACCTGGAGGGCAGCCATGGGCCACTGCAGATGTGCTCACGCCACCCAGGAGGCCGCGGGCAGGGGCCCTGGCGACAAGCTGAGAGGCGGAAGGAAGGGGAGACGGCGGCTCAGGGCGCAGGCCACACAGTTCAGACGGTCCCCGCGGGCCCCTGCGCGTCGCCCCCTCCCGCGCAGCAGGACCGTGATGGCTGCCGAGCGGACGGAGGAACCGACCTTCTGGGACGGAGCATGGCTAACATCCCTAAGAAGCGATGGCTGAGAAGCAGCTTTTGGCAGCAACGGAAGCTTCTCTATCTCTGGTTTATGCCCATCCTTTCCCAGGTGTCCTACGGGCCCGGGAAGCACCGAGGAGCGTCCTTTCCGGGAGCTCCCGCAGACGGAGGGTGACAGGGAGGGCTGCAGCCAGCAGGCAAAGCAGTCGCGCAGTAGGGTCGCTCACCCATTCAGTGACCCTGCTTTTGGGGGGCCATCCGCACGCCGGCACAGACCGGGCCAGGTGATGACAAATCACTGGTTGGCCCTAGAGTCCACACCAGGACTCACGGTGAGAAATGCGTTTCCTGGAGCCTGGCTTAAAAAAAAACCCACCAAAACCCTGCTGCCCACTTTCCTTCGCCTTCAGGTCTTGACCACTGTTCTGAACTGGGCGTGTTATGGGTTTGTTACATTTTTCATTAGGAAGGTGCCCGCTGTGGTTTATGCTCATCCTTTCAAGGACATCCCTGAGGCTTTAAAGTTAGAAAGTGAGCCCATCTCCGGAGCACCCAGGTGACGGGCCACCCACGGGAGCGCGAGCCGAGGGTCATTGGAGCCCAGCACCAGCACAGCCACCCCAGGCCGGCCCATCAAGGCGGAAGGCAAAGCAGCTCTCGAGGGACACCGTGTGTCTGGTGGCCAAACGGAGCCGCTGGCAAGCAGCCTCTGTGCTGGGTCTTAGACCCAGGACAGAAGGGACCCCTTCTGCCAGGACAGTGCTCTGGGGGCCTGGGGGCTGCCTGCGGCCCAGTCAGGGAGGGACCCGGGAACAGAAGCCCCCTGCATGCTCCAAGGAAGAGGGTCCACCCGCCTCTGCCCCCACCCCCAGCCCTCACAGGGCTGCGCACCTATTATTGTAACTGCCCTGCGCTGACAGACTCATGCTCTGAAGTCACCTCACACACCTGGGAAAGCTCCTTGACATGTAAACATTACCTTTTCTCCGCTTTAAATAAGCCAGCAGATTGACTTTCATGTACATCTCTTGCATGAATTCTGATCTCGGATCAATGCGTCGCCCGGACTTGCAAATCCTCAGCGAGTAAGCACGGTTTAAATTGGGTTCACAAGCGCCCCTCCCCTTCTGATGCCCACTCCAGAAACCTGCGTGGGGAGGTGCAAAGGCCCCTCGTCTTTCTGGACGATTCCCAGCTAAAGAGACTGGGTGGGGCCCAAGGCTCTACATCACATTCCGATGTATGTGCTGGAGTGAAAACTGGGATCGGCAGGATAAGCTTCTGAGCCCTCTGTCCGGCCCCTACCATCTCAGGGACTTGCCACAGTAGCGGGGATGTCCTGTGTCCTGTGCAGCTTCTCACACAGTAAAGGGTAGGGACTCGAGGAAAGTCCTGTGGATTGTTACCCGTGCCAGTGTTCCCTGAACCGCTCCCAGGTGCTGTTTGCAGCAGAAATCATTGCTACCTCGTGAACCCCAACATTCATGAGCTGGTTTCGGAACATTTACACCTGCTTAAAAACTAAGAGACCCCGGCACCAAATTCTCTCTTCTGCAACATGGGAGGCGGTTTCCAGGTGAAAATGCCTTTCTGTAGGTTACAGTAAGTTGTCTGCAGCTGCAGAGTTGGAGGTTTCCCCAGGGATTTCTCAGGGACACCTGACCTGCATCCTGGGTTTACTTCCTTCGTGTCTGAACGGTTTTCAGTAACCATACTCTGGCAGGGTCGGGTCTCTTGTCCTGGACAGGGAGGAGGTGGCACTCTGGCCACGTCCTGTCATCAGGCCACTGTCATTTAAGGGACACAAACACCTGGACTACAGGCTGTTTTCAGATTTGAAGCATTAAAAAGTAGTTCACCTTGTATTCTTAGTCGATAAAGGCTTTGACCTGTGGGGAAGGTGAGGAATACACTCTTCGTACAGTTGGTTACATACGCTTTCTACATTTTTACCCAGAGTTAACCAGTGAGAAGACAAATCACATTGAAGAACATGATCTATTTAAACTTACTTTTTATTATCATTTTTTTCCAGTTACCCAGCATGCCACAATCTGATTGCTGACCTGGATGAAACAGAGTGAAATAAATGATTTACAAAGAGATATTTACATTCATCTGATTTGTACGTAATATGTCACAACGCACCGCGACCTTCCCGGTGGACACCGCCTCAGACGGCAGGGGCGGCACTGTCGCCGCCACGCGTGTTCCCGAGTGGTCCCTGCACGGCGGACGGGCTGGAGCCGAAGTCTGATGTGGGGGAGACCTCCTGGTGTGGGTGTGCAGAAACGGCTTGATGTTACTGTCATTCTAGAGTTGCTCATTTGTATGCTACGTTACACACAGGATTTCCAATAAATGAACTTTTGAAAAGACTTGAATTGTAATGTTTACTTTCTACCTTGCAGTGATGAACAAAAACACACCAAAAAGGCACCTATTGTAACCAGGCCAAAGGGTAGCGAGGACTGTCCTTTTGCCCTGCCACTTGTGTTTCTCTCCCTCCCCGCGGTCTGCACATCGTCCTTCCACTTCGCCGGTAGTCAGCGTCCCGCAGGACCCCGCCAGCTCTCACCCCGCTCCCGGGCGCGCCGCCAGGAGACAGCAAGCGGCACTCAGCAATACCCTCTCCACTCGGCTAACACCACACACAGACGAGAAAGCATCTCTGGCTCCGTGGGGTCACGTTGTTTCTCCCATATGCAGTATTTGAGAGGAGCTGAAAAACATCCTTAGTGAAACTACAACATCCCTTAGCGTTTCAGCCAGTATCTGTACACAGGTCATTAGTTTAGTTTAGAAGAGTATTTCAGCTATACACAGGTTAGCCCTCCAATGATTTAAAGGAATAGAAATGGGCATGGAAATGCTGGGTCGCCTCTGAGGATGACAATGGAACACTAAAGGCAGGGCTGCCGCTGGGACAAGCTCCCGACCTCAGGCTGACGTCCGGGCCAGCGACCCGTCACCGCCACGTCCGGCACGGCCTCTCAGAGCAGCGCGGGTTGGGCTGTGGAGGCGGTGGGGTGACCCGCAGGCGAAGACCGTTCAAGTCTCTTGAGCACGAAAAGGTTCACGCCCGCAAGAGCAGAACTTCTATTCAAAATCAGGTTTTTGATTCCACCAAATGTGCTAGACAGAAAGGCTGTTACATAAGATATGTTAATTGTCCCTAATTCTGGTTTAGGAATACAGTAAATAAATTATACAATATTCTAAAAATAGCACCTTTAAAGAATTATAGAGGTCACTTTATGTTAGCCTCCTGGACTGTCCACCCCAGTGGTTGTGAGGGAAGAGCATATGTAAGGATGCCCTTGAATTTGGCGTGTGACATACACATACATGCTTGACTAACTTTGGTCCCAAAGCCATTCCTGTAGCTGGCTTAGTCGCAGGAGCAAAGCCAAGGTTCTACAATAGTAGGTCTATGAGGTAAAATCAGAAAAAGGCCCCGTCCGCGATGACTCTAGGTAAATCAGATTGTAGTCCGATCATCCCACCCATCTGCTACCCACGTCTAAGTTTAACTTGCCATCAAGTGCTAAAAATCTACTCAGAAAGGAAGTACGCAGAGCCACGTGAGCAGGAAGACGTCACTGAGGAGCTACACGCCTAAAGGATTCTGGGTCCAAACCATCTGGCGTGAAGATGATTAGGGTCTTACCAATCTCCAGGGAGACAGCCCGCCCCTGGCCTCGCCGCAGGTGTGTCTTACACCCGGTGCTGGGAGCTCGGTGGCTCCCCTTTGGACGTAGCCCTTCATCAGAGTTGGTACAACTGCACTATTGCCGTTTTAGTAAAGTAATAAAATAATCCCGCGTGTGTTTTGAGCTACAAGAAATTTACATATTTTCCTGTCACGCTTTATACAGGGTAGGTTAGTAACAGGTGGAGCTATTAAAAAATCTTTTTTTTTCTAGGAAAGAACAGTATTTGATTTTCTGAGATTACAGAACCACGTCCAACAACAATAAACAGAGAAGTAAGAGATTGACATAGTGCTTTATTTAAGCTGTCTGTACGAGGAAAATAATGTGCACCCTATCATATACGTGTAAAAATACTAAGGATGTACAGTGTACAAAAACAGTTTCTTGTAGTTATTTCACATCCTTGTGGGTCATATACTTCAGGAAATGAACAGTTTTAGTATGACCAACAGTAATAGTAATACAGTTTCTTGGGGTCATGGTTTGCATCTGCTTAGAATCCTTCACCAGATGACTAGATCTTGCGCGGATCTAATGAAAGAAGTCAAGAAATGTCACAAACTATAAAGCTACAGGGAGGTAATTCAATGACCAATTTAGAGGTTTTCTTTTTATTTAAATAAATACTTTACATTTCATGCTTGCCTGTAATGCACTAACCAGGAGCAAGGTCAGGAAATTCTACCGAAGACAGTACGAACGTAGCAGCAAAGTGTGTACACTGAGGTGTAATATATAGACCCTGCAGTTAGTAAGGAAGGCCCTTACCGTGGTTTGTACTCTAGGAGAAGCAAGTGGCCCCCGCAAGAACAGTCAGCTGTAAGAAGCCGGAAATCAGGTATGGGAAATGGAAAACAATACTGGAACGATGCTATGTCGTTAGTGTCGAAAGCAAAGCTGTGGGCAACCCTGCCAAAAACACCACGCGGAAATGGCCAGCTGCCCCGGAGAGGGCAGACGTCACGGTAGCTCCGTGGTTCAAGGTGGGGTCCACACCGCCGGAGCTGCACTCTGCCTGAGCGGTGCCGGGGTTCAGGCCTCTCCGTTGGCTGGAATCTAAGCTACAGCTACGGGCAGACACGGGGGAAGTTCAAGAAACCTCCTCCGACAGGTTCCTGTCTCTCTGTTAGGCCTCCGTGCCAGCTGACTGAGACCTGGGAGTGAGGGGAAGGGATGATTCTCACAATCGAAGCCAAGAAAACACCTGGCGTGACTCAAACGGGATCCTGGGGGAGGGTGGGGGCGGAGGTGAGTGATGGGGCCTGGAACACGGCTGGGGACTGAGAGCCGGCTGTGAGGAGGGGCCAGCCCGGGGCACTGTCACCGCTGCTATTAACCTTTAGGACACGTCCTTGGCCAAGGTCATGGAAATCACTTTAAAGTTTGGAAAAGAACAAAAAACAACAAAAATAAAAGTTACCGATGTGCTCAGTGTCTGGTGCCATGCCTACCCTCGAAAGGACCCCATGCTGTGTGCAGCCAGCCTCAGCTCTCTCCTCTTCCTCTCACCTGTTTCTTTTTTATAAAATGAATGCAAGACAACTTACAAGACATACCTTCTAGTCTACTTTCTTGTCAAGGTGCAACATTCAACATAATTCCAAGTGGGAAAAAAAAAAAGTTGAGCGATATGTGTAAGAGTGAACTACCGTTTACGGTAACTTCCTACTCAATACTAAGGATGAACTTCACTCAGGTAGAAATATGAAAAATTAGGATAAAACCTATGTCTGAATATGTCTTAGCTGCCTTAGTAAAATGCCCTTTAGCCCCCGGCAGTCCCAGCGGCCCACCCACCGCCAGCAGTGGCTTCGTGTCTGTGAATCCACACTTTCAGCGACCGGAGGCTAAGACATCTGCCCGTGAGTATCACTCATCCATCCTGCTCAGAAAGTCACTTGCTCTTTCATCCAGTGATGTGATCACAATACTACATCACACTGTGGTCTTCCATTTGGGAGCTGTCAGAGAGTTTAACTAAAATACATCTCCATGATCGCTCCGGGGGGCCGTCGGCCCCCGGATTTCATAGGCTGCTTTGGAAAATGTCAGCTCCTAGCACCAAAGGGTTTAATCTGAAGATCGTCATAATGAAGGAGAAAGATGAGGTTTGCATACATGTCCCCTTTCAGTGAGAAATGTTGGAATGCGGGGACATGAGTATATACAGAAAAAGAAAAGTTGGAGGTGTTCTTTTTTTGTTTTTGTTTCGTTTTGTTTCCCTGATGGCTTAATTCAGTGATAAATGTACCAGGATCAGAATAAACACACCAGGTTCTTATCTTTCACTGCCTCCTTCGTAAACACTTGAGATGTGTTTATTTTGCCAAGTAGGTTCATTTATCATCATTCAGGTCTCAATTTTCTTCATCTCATTATGTTGTCAGGCCGTCATAACGTCTCAATTCTCAAATGAGCGAATATCAACGCCCATTTGTTTCGCTGACCCCTTGGCATGGGCAGTTGGGAATTTTCGCATTTTTAGCACCAAGGGGTTAGATGACAGCATCTCTTCTCCCAAAGCCAAATTCTAACCAATATGTACAATTTCAGAGCCTCATCCAAATTTTGTCACAAAGGAGAAAAAGTGCATGAATCTCCTCGGCGTGTACATTCCTGCACGTGGGTCAAAATAAACCGCAGTACGTCTATTTTATGTAAGTTGGAGCTGCATTTGCTAACATGACAAACAATGCTCATCACTAAAAAATAAATACTACTGCAATATAAACAAAATCATCAGAGGACATTCAAAGTTCTAACATCTGAGAAAAAGCTAACTCCCGTAGAACTAAAATGAAAAATTCAAACAAATATGGCAAACACTGTTTACCTTGGTGTACGAATTTTGGTGAAAAGCAGGATCGTTATACCTGTCTACATTCTTCAGCCATCAGAGGCGAAAAACAGTATAATGGGAAGAGGTTTCCAAGCACAGGGGAAAAAATGCTTTCTGGTGCCAATCCTACCATAGACCCTTGACGTGACTTGGCTCTGCAGGGCACAGGCTGGCTTCCTTCCTTGCAGAGCCACGTTTGCCTGCCCATGACGTCCACGCGTAACGCCAGGCTTCCTCTGCAGTATCCAACAGGAATTTAAATACATAGAGAGATACACGTACATATCTCAGCCGTTGTTCAGTCCTTCCCACAAATGCTTCCTAATGCATTTCAGCCAGATCTTAGTGATAAATGCTTACTTTATGCACTGATCTGAGATGCTTTGCTAAAATTTGCATATGCACATCACCACCCTTGCACAACTGCTTGTTCTGCATTATAAACTAAATCTTCTTAGTCTAATTAGTTTTTGATTTCTCTTCTAGAAAGTTAAAAAATGTACCTAGAATCAGTGTATCTCACTTATCCTTCACTGTTAGGGAAAAAGAACAATGAAAAAGATCAGAAGATGACATTGGTGCACACGTGAATCATGGTGGGCTCATGACTTCCCCAGATTGTAAAGTTACCTCTTAAAGTTGCTATAATAGTAAGACAGTAGCAGCAACAGCATGAGACCTTAGACTGAGATACAAGTTCATGCAAAAACAAAAAGTCGAGTGTATTTGCGTTATGTGTGTTCTCGGGTGGGCGAGAGGTGGCGAGGGGCGAAGACCTGGGACCGGTCTGCGTGTCTGAAGGCGCTCCTGCCGTCTGTCAGAGCGAGGACCGCTGTGATGACCGGGAACCGTTTTCAGTGATCAACCCATGGTGACGGTGCAGTAGCAGGATGAGAGAGGCTTATTCACGTCCACTGGCCGAATAGGAGAACTGAGGGAAGTGTGGCCGCCGCTCGTTGTCCACGCAGTCCATGCCGTCCTCGTCATCTGCGGGCGGGAAGTGGCTCTTTTAATTTTACCTCTGCGTTTGGCATCACATCTCCGGTCTACATAGTTCTAACTTCTAACCCAATGAAGACTAAGAGAGGCGCCAGCGCCCAGAACTTTGGATTTATCAGTGAAACATACAGCGATGAAGTATATTTCAAAATTCTCTGATTTTCAAACACCTGATCTATGAAGAAATTACACCATCAAATCATCACCTTCAAGACACGTTTGCAGACTCACTAAACTGGGAAACAGCTATTGAAGAAAACAAGATTTTTTAAATTAGAAGGAACAAACAATCTTCAATAACCTTTAGTGTCATGAAAGTGTGCGTGTCCAAATGACAGACATCAACGAATCGAAGGCTCCTGAATCGCCTATCTAGAATTCACTGTCAACTGTCTTCAAATGCTTGGAGTTTTTCTTTATGGTGCTTTTGGTGTGATAAAAAAAATAAAGCTTCATATGATTCCATTTCACCTGAGTCCTTAACTGCATGTTTAAGATTTTGTATTTACTCTGCATGCAATATCTGCCTTTACTCATCATTCAGTTTCCCTAGGATAAAATTTTAAACTAGAACGAAGAGAAAAAGAAAAAAGGGGAAAGATGTCAGCATCTAAGTATGAGTTCATCAGGAACAAACAGGGAGAAGAGACTGAATTAAGCGAGGGACTCTTTTAAAGACCCCATCTTCTTCTCCTCAAGCAAAATCATTCCGTTTCCTCCAACACATATCGGAAGCACGTTACAAGTTCTCTCTGTTCTCCAGCCTCTCCAGGGAGCATCAATTTTGTGTAGTGGGAGAGAACACAGGCCAGATGCCGCTTTGTCATGGGCGCTGACCCTGTCACAAAACAAAGGGTGATACTCTGCATTCCTCTGGAGAAGAATGAACTTTTCTGCTTTTTTCCATTCTTATTTTTTGTATCCTACTCTTAACACAGAAGACTCTAGAAACAGGATCAAGTTGGTAACCAAAACTGGTGGCCTCGAATGTACTAGAAAATATCCTTCTATTAGGCAGGACTCAATCCATCAGGAAGCATTTGTGGTTCTTGCTCCCTGCAAACTACCAACCTCCGGGGGCTTCTCTCCTTTTAACTACACGTCCCTCAATAATACTGCGATTCAGGAAAAGCTCTGCCTCCAGACTATGAAATACTGGTGAGGCACCAAGCAAACCACATGCATCTTTTAGATGAAGTGCTTTCCACAGTACTTGGAGCACTACTAAAATGGTGTCCATTGTTGAATCACAAAGTATAAAAACTCTAGAGAAAAGGAAGCTGAAATCTTAAATGTTCTGATTCTGACTTGTGCCGGTCCCATTCCAAAGAAAGAGTTTTCCCCAGTACCAGCTGTCTGGCGGGCGTGTCTGTGCACTGTGAGCGCGGGCGAGCCCCGGCGGGCTCGGCGGGAGCCTGGGGCTGGTCCGGCCTCAGCCACAGAGGAGCAGAGGCTACCACCAGCTGCACCAGGCTCTGGCTGGGGGAGGTGGTGGATTTCCTGTCCGAGGAAGTGTAGTTATTGCTATGAGGCTGCAGGTCAGTTGAGAATTAAAAGATAGCCTTAAGCCCTGGCCAGGTGGTTCAGTGGGTTGGAGCGCTGCTCCACACGCCAAAAGGTTGCAGGTTTGATCCCTGGTTGGGGCACATATAGAAGGAAACTGATAGATGTTTCTCTCTCTTTTTCTCTCTCTTCCTCTCTCTCCAAAATCCATATCCTCAGGTAAGGATTAAAATTTTAAAAAATAAACAAGATTCTTCATTCTATCACTTCAGTAACAAATTAAACACGTTCCTGAAGATAAAGTTAAACTTGCAGCTAACCGTACGAGGGCCCCCCCACCTCGATCTGGTTAAAGCCAGTTCCTGACCCTTCCTGCCTGGTCTAGTGAGGGGCTGCAGGGGGACAGAGCTAGAAGTAGGCGACAATGACATGGGTAACTGCCTGCCAGAGCCCGTCACACCCGTCAGTGGACATCGGGACATTCCTGCTCTCAGATGAGCCTCACCGGCCACAGTGGTGCCCATGAACATGAACTATGCTTAAAAAAAAAAAAAAAAAAAGAAAAGCTTCGGCTCCACACTCCAACCCCTCACGCCCGAATCCCTGTCGTCTAATATTCTTAGAATATTTAACAAATGTAATTATGTGGCAGTAAAAGCTACTAGATCTCAAAGAAACCCTCTTTTCCCATAAGAGGAAGGCAGAGCAGCACTAACGCAGGAAACACAGGATGTCTCGTCCCCAAACTCATTCCGCTAATTAACACCAGTGAGGATGATCTGGCACAATACTGCAGCGGTTTGTGCAAAAGGAACATTGCGCCTTTCTGACTGCTGATTTGTTCTAAAACCGTAACTCTGTTCTGTTGGATAAAAGCAAGGTGGCAAGTGGGAAGACAATTCCCTAATGGGGCCACCGTGGGCTTCGGCGAACAAAACCTGCTTCAGTGACCAGAGCGCCGCATGGTTGCTCCTGACACCGCGGTTCAAGGCCGAAGGAGGAAAGATGGTGGGAAATGCAATCACAGTGCCAGGCTCCACCGACTCTCCCGTGGCCTGCCCACTAGCGCGACCTCAGAAATAAATTCACGGCCAGGGGCCAGCCCCCTACCAGCACCGCCCGCGTGCCCTGGAAGGACCCAGGGGTGAGCTTCACGGCCCGAGGCCAGTCCCGGAAGCAGGAGCGAGGCTCCACGGCCTTGTGCCGGGGGTGCGCCAAGCCCGGCCACACAGGACAGGCTGTGGGGCCGCGTGGCCTCCGCCTACCCTGCTGAGCGGTTTCATCTGATGTTCTCTCTAGACCTTGGATTGAGGAATATGAGGGCAAGTTCACAGTGTCCTCCAGACGCACTATGGGGGAAAGGGCTCACGGGCCAATCCAACAGCTCACTGGTGTCGCCCAGCATGTGAGGCAATTACTTTGTCACCATCCACGCGGGGGCCGGCAAACCACGCCAGGCCTGTGGCCACAGCTGCTACTCAGACAGTCCTCAGCCCCTTGCACACAGCTCCACGGGCTTTCTAACACTGTCTTCGACAGTCAGACACCTTAAGGTTCTGGCAGTGGCACCCAGGGCAGTGTGGAAGCCTGCCGCCGGACCACGGGTGACAGACCGACCACAAGCGGCGCTTCTACGACTGCTACCCCGCAGCTTCACCCGGGCAGCAGCCGAGCTGCTGAGTCCCACGGGCGGTGGCCACACTCCCTGTGGGGCCTGGGGAAGCCCCGCTTTTCTCTGGGTTTCAATTTCTTCCCTTTTCACGTAAAAGTTAAGAGGTTCGTTTTGCAAGTCTGAAGGACAAGCACATAAGCACACAGAATCACATTTTCATTTCAGGTTGCTCACAGTTCCTTGCTGTCAGGCCATGGGCCCCCGATGAAAAACTCTTGGCCTAAATGACATACGACGCTGCGTGTGCCTTTCAGTGCCCTACCCCGGCTATTTGCAACAGGCATGTTGCAAGAATTCTTAAAACGTGCAATACCTGGTTATTCAGTCAGGGGCACTGACCTCTTTTCCCTTAGATTGTCAAACAAAAAAATGACAACCGCAATGCAACCATAGCCATCCAGTGTGAATGAATCAAAACCATGTGTATTTTTTTGTCAGATCAGCAAAAAATAGTATTTTTAATCGCTATTAAGTTCAGTGATCAGTTTGTGTCCCGAGATGAAAAACGCTGATCCCTGCTCTGATCTACTGCTGCGCCCGCGGCTGGCGCCACCCTTCCCTCCAGCCTTCCTGCTCCTGGGCCCTCAGCGGCATTTCCACTCTCAGCAGCGGGCCTGCCTCTGAAGAAGGAACGAGGAAGAAAAATATAGGAAAGAATATAAAGGAAAAGAAAAGGAGAGAAAACTGGCATAGAGTTAATGCATGAGCCACCAGGTGGGTGACCTGAAGAAATCTTTTTACTGCCCACATATGCCCTTGTGACTCAATTTTATCCTCATTTCCAAACTTGTGATGGCAGATACGGACCTTTGTCAGCATGTGAGAATGTGTCTAAATTATATTTGATAACCTTTCCTTTCATTAAAGTCCATTTATTTCAGGCCTTTATCAGTGTGGAATACAGACTAATGAATACGGGATGATTTTAAGTGGTACACGGACGTGTAGTTTTAACAGATATGGAATTTAATTTATAGGCACCAAAAATTACTAGCAAACAAAATTGTGTCTTCGCAGATATTCTTGCTTAAGACAAAGCTAAGTAAAAAAAAAAGAATGATTCAATTGAAAGTGAATTTTAAAACTAGTAAGTGGGAGACCAAAATTAGGAAAATTCTGAGGGTAGTATGTGAATGGGAAACATGGAAAGTCTCTATTTCAGAATCCTTTTAGCTGATGTCAAAAGAATCTATTAGAGAAGAGTAAGAAGGGCTAATTAGTCTATAATTCTCAGTGTACGATTTCTCCATATGGAGTTTTTCCTACCTGAAAACAACTTTTCTTTTAGCTACCTTTCTTTCTATTTCCACACTGGGAACTAACTCCATTCTTAAGTAAAATGAACTAAGTCGCTGTGGAATTTGATCTTGAAAATATCTAATTAAAAAAATGACTGTTTTCTTCAATTATATTAGTGTGCTATGAATCACCTTCTAGATTTACTTACATTTTTCAGGTGGTGTTATTGTAATAGTCTGAGCTGTAAATTCTTCATCAAAATATCTGGTATCTGTCTCAGATGTTACTTGAGGCTTAAAAGGAGGTACAAGCTGTAAAAGAAAGAGAGAGTCCTGTTAACAGATTTCAGTTTAGGAAAATTAATTTTAGGATAAAATGGGAGAGCAAATAACTAACTGAAGGGTGCAGGAGACTAGACTGCTGAGTCACCGTGGAAGGTCAACCAGACCATCAGTCAACAGTCTAAACCCGGGACAGCAGGTCGTTGGTTGTTCTGTATATAATGTGAAGGATTACATGAAACTGAACACACAAGAACCCAAGAATAGGGTGGAAGAGCTACTGAAAAGCCTGTTCCAGTCTTTTCCCCAATAACACACACATACAAAACCAGATAGATGTAGACTCTTCCTGGTACCTGATGGACGAGTTATCACTCAAAACACAACCTAATCACACAGTTATTCTCTGGCACACAGAGAGAGTGCTGCCTGTGGACCTGGCGAAGAACCTGGACCTCCTCTCGCTCTGCTGACTGGAGACGGGCAGGCGTGCCTGGCCTGCTCTGAACGGGGGTTCTTGGCAGTTACGAGCCAACGCTTGCCCACGGTTTTCATGAGATCCTCAGAGGGGACCGTAACCGAGGGAGGTGAAGGGTAACAAACTGCTCTAGGAGCGATGGAACAGGACTCCTTGGCCTCACACCTGCTGCAGGCCCAGGGCGGGGGATGGGATAGGGGGGCTGGTGGTTACAGCCTGAGCCCCGGGGGGCCTCCCTCTCGGTGACTATCCCTGGCTGGGAGGGGACGGGCCAGGATGGTGCCCTGCTCACAGAGCTCTGCCTCCCAGTAGAGCCTGCAGGTCTTTGTAACTCGGGAAGCCCGGCACCAGGCCCCCGAGCGAGCGCACATGCTCTGATAAGGACCGCTCAGAACAGGAGATGCTGCTTTTAGAATAAAATCCCCGTGGGGACAGAAAATGGAAAATACAATAGAATGACAGAACTGAGTGTGTTTCATAAAGATTTCACAGAAACGGAAATACACCATTGGCTTTAGATCAATACATTTTCCCGCTCCTACTGTCACCAAAGTTATGTTAAATAATAAGGCAAGAATCTTTACATTGTTTTCTAGACAAGATTATGTTTTAAAAGAGAACAGGGAGAAGGAGAATGAAAAGAATGTTTTCAAAATCAAGGACCACATGCGACACAGCGGCCTGGTGCCCGAGAACAGCTCTGGCTGTGTGGCTCCTGCCAACGTGGGCCGGGCCTGTCTTCTCTGCACCAGACAAGCTAACACGCGGTGGATTTCCCCACGGTTCTAACTGTGTTTCCCTAACGAGTAACTGTCTTTTCCATGAGTTTATTTCTTCTTTGATGAAGTGTCTGTTCACATATTTGCCCATATACATTTTTTTTTTTGTCGCGAAGTTGAGACTTCTCTATATATTCCGCATGCACGTCCCATATCATATTTGGGATTTGCAAATATTCTTCCCATCTGTGCCTTTTCCTCTTAACAGTGTCTTGTAAAGAACAGACATTCTTAATTTTGATAAAGTCTGACTTATCAATTTTTCTTTAAAGATTATGCTTTTGTCCTTATCTAGGAAATTTCTGCCCTACCTAATACCACAAAGATTTTTGCCTCTATTTTCTTCTAGAAGACTTTACATTTAGGAATACGATCCATTTTGTTAATTTTGTATATGCTGCAAATTCTTTTTAAAAAAAATATAGATGTCCAGTTGTTTTAGCAGCATGTGTTGGATTGCACGATCTTCGTACTTTTATTGGAAGTCAATTAACAACATGAGGGTGGGTCTATTTCCAGATTCTTCGTTGTGTTGCTTTGACCTCCTCACCCATCTTAATGGGCAAATAAAGAGGCTATTTGTCCATAACAAACTGTCTTGATTACTGTGATTTAATAATAAGTCTTGAAGTTGGGTAGTGTAGGTCCCTCAACTTTGTCTCTTGTCAGGGCTGTTTGGGCTATTCTAAGCCCTTTGCATTCCATATGCTTTTTTAAATCAACCTAACAATTTCTACAAAATTGCCTGCTAGCATCTTGATTCGGACAGTGTTGAATTTATATGCCAATTTTGAGAGAACAGGCATCTTAAAAATATTGTCTTCTAAATCATGAACACAGCAGATCTCTTCATTGCTTTGGATTTTCTTTACTTTCTCTCAACAATATTTATTAGTTTTCAATAAAGGTCTTTCATACCCTTTGTCAAAAGTATCCCTAAGTACTTCAGATTTCTGTTGTTATAGTAAACAATATTTTTACTAATTTTCATGGTAGGTTGTCTGTTGCCACTGTATGAAATTAGAGCTCAGGCTAGTCAAACTGGCATGTTCTAAGGCCATCACACACACAAAAACATCCTGAAAGCAGTAGGTGATATGAAACACATAATTTACAAGGAACAAATAATTGAATAAGCCCTCACTAAGCTATCAACTCACAATTTTACATCCAGTGATAACATCCCTGAAGAATACAGCCAAAATAAAGACGTCATTGGATAAAAGAAAACAAATTCCTCTCCAACTGACTTATAGTATGAGAAATGATCATGGAGATTCTTCAGGCTAAAGGCGAATAATGTCAGAAAGCAGCCTGAATCCTCAAGAAGGAATGAAGAGGCGAACGTGTTCTGGAATCAGATGGTGAGGAAGGCTGCGCAACTCTGGGGCTACACTACAACCCGCAGGCGTGGGTACTTCACAGGGAGGATTCTATCTCCATTAAAACAAGTCAATTAAAAAAGAGAATGAGGAGCATTTGAAATAGTAAACATGTAGTTTTATACAAACACTAAAAGTTCTAACTCAGAATTTGGGACAGACACGAAGATTAATCTTCAAATAGGAACACAGAAGTCTAACGAATGAACTGAAAGTCTTTAGAATGGATGGAGTGAGGTCAAAGATTCACTAGGCGCTTTCAGAAGAGGTGTTCTTTCACTTAGGCCCCTCTCTGTTCCTCCCACGGAAGTGATAAGCATGAGTCTTTCTCATTTAAACGGTTGCCCTTCCAGTGAAATGAATATTAACCATGTGACCAAAATAAACTATCCAGTACCTAAATTACTCTCTAAAAGCAAGTTTCCTCTTCTTTACTGAAGGAAATCTCTGAAAAATAAGTACAAATACAGTAAGTATAAGATGGTTCTCAAAGTGAGCCATAGATCCCAAATCAATCGTCTTTAAATACTCTTGTTCTTTCTTGTTCTATGCTGTTATTATTTTTCTTTACAAAGAACAAAGCTTTAGCAGTCAGTATATGATGGCATTCTGAAATCTCCAGCCTCCGCTGGGCCCTGAAGCAGTACCTGGTACCTCTTCACATGTCCCTAGCTGGGCTCTCTGCAGTTCCCTCCCCTCCCCCTACATGAGCCGGTTACTGTCCTCGAGCCTCAGCCTGAGATGTTGACTACACATGCGCACACATACCCTTCTTACTCTCAGAAGCAGGATGCTTCCTATCAAGAGAGCAGAGCCTTCAGGCAGCAACTACCCCAGCTTCCGGAAGAGACATTTACAAACACATTGGCTTCTGTGGGCAGTTCTACAACATTTCCCATCCCTGCCCCTGCCCGGGGGCCCTGCCCACTCTGCAAAGGCTAATTAATCCCTTTAGCTATGCTTCACAGACCCTGCTTTTCCTCCTATCTTACTTTTTTTTTTTTTACAATATATTTTAAAATCTTACAGCACACTATCCATACACTTGCATCTTAAGTCTTACTTTTTTCTATATCTCTCCACTTGGAGTCCTTATTGGATTTTCCCTTAAGTACATATAAGCGAAACAGAAGCAGAAACAAATATAATTCATTCCATAGGCTGTTCCATTTAGCTATTGCCCCCTCTTTCTTTATTCTTCAGTTTTCTTCAGTAGTTCATGCTTGGTGTTTTCATTTCTTTCACCTTTCACTGGAGTCAAAAAAGAACTATTTCAAGCATAAAAGAAATAATAGAAAATAACATAAAGACAACCAGGCATAACGAATGTTAACATTTTGTCAATAGATACTTTGACACTTTTTTTGCTTTCTTAAGATATAGAACATAGACATGCAGTTAAATATCCATCCCTTTCCCCTCACTAATATTCCACCATTGTTAACCTACAAGCACAACACAGATATGATTCAAGTAACTTTTGTTCTCAAGTTTCTCTGTCATTTACATGCAGTTTTACAATTTTCTCCTGTATATAGGTGGTCATAAATATAGTTGACAGGGTCAGTTGCAATGCCTTGTATTGAAATTTTTCCCTCTTCTTTTTTGGCCAATAAAGTTGTACATAAAGACCATCACACATTAAGATCTACCTCCTCCCAAAAAAGCAAGAATCAACTACATGATGTCTAAAAGAAAATTCACTCAAATATATAACACAGGTTAACAGTAGCATAATGGGAAAAGATGTATCATACAAAATCAAAAGAAAGCTGGAGTACTTATTACCAGACAAAGTAGATTTCAAAACAAATATTAATGCTATGAAGGCAGAGGAACATTTCCTAATGATAAAGGGATAAATTCACCAAGAAGATATAATTCTAAACACGTATGCAGCTAATAATGAAGTTTCAAAACGCATGAAACAAAACAAATTTTCAATTATAGTTAAAAGATTACAATGATCCCTTTTTAGTAACTAATAAAATGAGGAGACAAAAAATTAGTGGGAATATAGAAGACACGAAAGGCACTCCCCACCATCGAGACATAACGGGTGCTGGTAGAGCACTTCACGCGATAAAAGCAGAGTGCGCAGTCTTTTCAAGTGTACTCAGGACATATACAAAGAGAAACCATTTTTCTCAGCCATAAAAATGTGAATAAATTTAAAAGGATTTATATCGCATAATGTGTTTTTCAAACACAAGACAATTAAGTTAGAAGTCAATAACACAAAGAACGAAAAAATCTATAGATTTGGAAACCGAACAACACACTTTGAAACAATCTCTGAGTTAAGAAGGAATCACAAGGGGAATTAAAACATACTTTGAAAGGAAAAGACAACATATCAAAATTCGCAAAGCATGGCTGAGTCTTTAGACAGAAAATGATAGTGCTTCTGCTTATGATAGAAAAAAGAGAAAGGTCTCAAAATAATCATTTAAGCTCCCCCCTAAAGAAAATAGAGAAAAAAAAAGAGAACAGTAATTTCAAAAGAAGCAGGATAAATAGTAAAGAGTAAATTAATAAATTTAAACAAAGAGAAACAATACAAAAGATCCATAAAACCAAAAGCTGGTTCTTTAAAAACAAATTTAGTAACATTGATAAACCTCTAGCCAGACTGATAAAGAACAAAAGAGAGAATACACAAATGACTGATATCAGAAATAAAAGAGAGGCCATCGCTGCACACACAACAGACACTCTAAAGATGGTAAGGGAGTGTTACAAACTTATTCAAGCCAATAAATTAGAATATTTAGATGACACATTCCTTGTCAGGCACAAAATACCAAAACTCACTCAGGAAGAAATAGATAACCGTGGCAGCCCGGTATCGGTTAAAAGAAATTGAATTTATTTCTGAAAACCTCCCCACAAAGACAAAACTCCAAGTGGCTTCCCTGGTAAATTCTACCAAAAATTCAAGGATTTGTTAACACAGTCTACACACACAATTCCATACAACTTAAGAGGAGGGAATACTGCCCACCTTGTTTTTCGGAGGGAAACATGATCTCTAAATTACAATCATACACAGACATTTTTAGAAAGACAACTCCCAATATCACCCATGATAAAAGGATGCCAAAATCCTTCAGAAACACATTGTATCAAATGCAGCAACATAAAATAAGGATTACCCCTCACAGATAGGTGGATACCCCTCCAGGAATGAAAGGTTCATTTACCATTAGGAAGCCAATCCCTGTAATTCGCCATGTTAATAGAACATAAAAGCAAAAACCCCTATGATCATTGCAAAAGATGCAGAAAAAGCTTCTAATAAAACCCAACACCTATTCATGATAAAAAATATTAGCACCCTGAGAACAGAAGGGCGCTTCCTCAGACTGATAAAGGAGGTACACAAAACTTATCCTCACATCCAATTTTTATAAGTTGTTATATGGAAATAATTTTTGGCTTAGAGAAGACTTAACAAAATAGCACTAACATGTATCCTTTCTGTGCATTAAGATAATAATGGTATAGCCATGTTACAATGATCAAACCTAAGAAAGTCCCATTGGTAGAGAACTACTCACAACCCACCCAGAAAGAGACTCAAAGTTAAGGACGCGGCTGTAAGGCTGTCGTTCCGGGCCTGCTCAGTAGCTCTCCACCGCCCAGGTAACCTTCCCAGAGGCCGGTCCACGAGGACGTCTATTACTTATGGAAACTTCGTGATTTTTGTGGTCGTTGCTTCTTTACGCAAGATACTTAACCCCTTTGCTCAAATTAAGCATCACCTATTTCTACCCATTATGACAATGTAAACTCCTATTGCCACATGCATCATCTGAAGCTGTGTTTGGGAGTTCCTGTTCCTACCCCACTTGCCAACTTCTCTGTCCGATCACCCCCAGGCAGCCACCTGCAGGTGTTCACTGCACCTCTGCCCTGGGCCTGTCCAGGCCGGTGCGGGCTCGACCCTCAGAGCTCTCTCCAGGTGATGCCAAACTACCGCCTCCCAAGAGGAGCCCAACACTGAGGAGGAAATCTTTGTGGCATTCTTGGTCTCTTAACAGTCGGCCACGCACACTGGTGCTTTACCATTGTCTCGTAGAGAACGTTTTCTTTCTTTTTTTGACTGAGTCCTTTTTGGACAGGGTGGAGCAAAGGGGTATTTAGTTGTGGCTTGGAGCCTGTGCACCAGAGAAAACCTCTGACCGTGTATTATTTCTCAGAGACAATAACAACTGTTTGACCATACTGAGCAGAATTTCAAGACACATTTTAGGAGTCAAAAGTATCAATACTCAATTAAATGTTCAATATTCAATTAAATGATAGTGTACAAAGTTCAATATTCAATCAGACGATAGTGTAGAAGTGAAACATATCATGATAACATTAAATTGTATTCACTTTAAAATCTTTCTGCTGTAAATTCATTTTAGCCAAAATACATAAACACCACGCCATGAAGATAACGCACCTTTTTATCGTATACATCTTGCCAGTTTACTCCCGAGAAGAAACTGTGTCTCATAATTTCTTTTGCATCATCTGGCCCTCCGCCGAGGCTGTGAGGATAGGAATGAAATTAAACGAGCGTGAAATGTTTACGTAAGCCAATGCCTAACAAAAAGTTTTTGTGAAATGTAATTTTCTGTGTGATAACTAGTCATAGAAATAAAAATCTTTCGCTGGAAGATCTAATTTCCTGAATGGGCTATTAACTCAGGATAGTACAGTATCTGAAAAGACCACAGGCTTCGGTGGCAAACCTGAAATGGGCAGCCAGCTCTGGAATTTATGTGTGACAGTGAAAAACCTGCTTAACCTCAGTTTTCTCATCTGTAAAATGGGGATAGTAAGTCCAGCACCCAGCACAGGAAATGGTAGCTTAATGAGAATTGTCATTGTCAATTCTACAAACCAGATTTATTTTAGAAGGGCTCACGTCAGAATGCACCCTTGTGAACATGAATTCTGAAATGTCTGAATTGGTTAGAGAAACAATTTGTAGAGCATTACTAACAGAGAGGAACTCATGGACGGTTTTCATATCTCAAATGAATTTCCACGGAACTGATATTGTTAATCTGTGAAATGGCATTACAATGTAATTTGCTAAGCAAGTTTCAATATAAATGAAAAGATTAAATGCACCCCCCACCCCGCGTCTTTGAAGGTGCTCTTATTTAACTGATACCAGATGCAATATGCAATTCAGGTGTTTCCTGCCTTCCTCAGTTCATAGAGTGCACATGAGTCATGACGAAGATAGAACGAGATGGACGGAAAAAAGAGAGAGTGAAGTAAGGAGGGAAGGTGACAGGGAAATGAATGGAGGAAAAAGAAAGAACAGGGAAGGAATGAGGAAAAGAGAGTAAAGGGAACCTAGTCAAATCTGATCCTGAAACAGCAAGCCTCACGGTCTTGTTCATGCTCAGGGATGACCTGCCCTGGGAAATGCTGAACCACCAGGCCCCTGGGGAAATTACGCACATTTAATATGCACATGGTATATGCTTCTTATAAACTGTACTGATATGAAGGATGCAAAGCATGGAATTTATAAAAAACAGTAAAAACATACAATGTTCTTTAGTATAAGTACATTAACCAGTGGATGCTCCAGAAAACTTTTGTTAATTTTTGCTGAAGTCCAAAGCCACCAACTGACTTACGAGTAGTTCTGATATGAACATTAGCTGCTATTTTTCATACTAAAAAATATAGTCTTTTTTATAGTCTTTACTATAGTTTATAAACTATATATAGTAAAGACTAAGATAAATGTGATAATAGAGACATGTGTCAGAACTTCACCTGTTTTTCAGATATGTGGGCAACTTCTTTGCTGAATGGCTAATATTTTTAGAACAGCAGAAGAATATTTCCTCATTTTTGTGCCATTCATAATGTAACAGATATAGATACAACCACCTTTAAAATTTAATCTGTATTATTAACACTTTCTCCATCACTTTAAACAATTGACAAAACAATAAATCAAGCCCTGACTTACAATGTTTGCCAATTCTGGTGATGTAAATAACTCCGACCATGGCCAATAGTAAAATGGAACAAAATCCTTACAGAGGGGTGAATTTTGAGTATTTATTACCTTTGATTTTAATATTTTTAATTTAATTTACAAATGTATACAATTTTAATAAGTTATAATGACTAAACAGCCAGCTCACACAATTCTTGAAATTTAACAATTGGCTCTTATGAGCTGGCACAGGCCAACCCCCACACACCACTGGGTAGGAAGAAAACAAACAGGTCGAAGAAAACAAACAACTGTACCATTGTCATTAATTCTTGTTGTTATTAGGTATGAGAAACACGAGACTGGGAAGAATCCACGATCCTCTGACATAGTGTCAGAATGGAAAATAAAGCAATCAGCTGATGTCTGAACATCTGTACCGATGAGCAGAGGTGCACAGTCTAGATTTATGCAGAATGAACCACACCCCTGACGTGGAACTTTCCGAGTGGATCTGCTCGTAAGAGCCGTGTGCACATTTGGAACTTCCCGAATGGCCGTTGTGTCTGTGGGTGACACTCAGCCCCCGACTCCCTGGCCTCACCCTTTTTCATTCTATGTCATGTTGTGTCTGTCTCGCTAGACGGTGAATACTTTTGAGGGTGGACAACAGTACTGGATTATCCAAAGAGCACTGCAGGCTTGTGCTTAGGGAACCAGACAAGCAGAAGCACCAAAACACGTTTCTGAGAAGGATCTAGTGTTTCAAAGTATGCATCAACGTAGGCTGTGTGAGAAAAGGCAGAAGTTCGTTGTGTTTTCTTCCGCTTTTGTTACTGTTTGTCTCAATACCGTGTCCATTTTGAATTATGTATGAGACGGAGCGTGCGGTGAGGGCTGGGGAGACAACCAGAGCGATCTTGCAGAGAAAAGGTTTTAAACCAGCCTCACGTCCTCATTTTTCTGTCTGTCTGTAGCAATAGGTAGGCTCTGGACATAGCTAGCACTTCATCTGTATCTATCAAACACATACAAGACTAAAGTATTGGCCATGAATACTATGCAGTCTAAGGTCTGAATCTCAAGACTGCATTCCAAAAGGTGGGAGAGATTCTTTAACACGAGCTTCCTTAAAGTGTGAAGCTGTCAAAAATGTCAACGTCAATGACTGCCTGCTATGTAACTTAAGACTCCAAAAGAATATCAGAATATGATTTGCATTGAGATATTTATGTCTAGGAATACTGAACTCCAATACCAGAATGCCGAACTAAATTCTCCGCTACTACGGATTCTTCATTACTAGGAACATCACAGAATTCCTATTTTCCTAGTGTTACTGAAGGCAACGTGAGATCATGCTCTCCCTATAAATTCTCACCTGCGTAGGAAGATAACAGCGATGCTACCAGAATGAGCATAAAGTAATGGAGAATAAGAAATAAAAGCGAGATCCTTGGGCAGAACTGACAGCAACTCAGTAAAGAGGATCAGAAAAATGCGGGACAGAATTTAAAACAGTGGAAGGGGAGTACTAATGAGATACACGATAATGCGATTACTGATTATATTTCCAGAGACTTCTCGGGGTCCCTGGTTGGCTCTCGCGTTTCCCAGGACTCTCTCCACCACTCTCACGGCCCCAGCTCCCTCCCAGACGATGATGGGTCCTCAGTCCAGACATTCGGTTCCTGGGTTTCTATTAGGCACTGGTCCTGTTTTCCATCTGGGTTTATATAAAACCTCAGACTTGGTACAGTGAAAGCAAGTACCAGCATTTACCCCGTGAAGCCTCCTCCTTTGCCTGAACACTGTCTGTTAAATCTACTCCATTCTCCAAACCAGTCACCACGCTGGAAAGCGAAGGCACCCCGCCTCCTCCTGCTTCCTTACCGCTTCTACTTCCCTATTCATAAAGTTCTATTTATCGCTGTTACTCTGCTTCAGAAAGGACCCTGTCTTTGATCTGGACCTACACATTCTTTGCTGCTCTGCCTATTGGCCCCTGGCCCTTCATTGTTCTAACCCATGCAGGACAAAGCTGCCAGAGTTACCTTGTCATCACAAAAATCTGGTTAATTATCTAGCCCCTTTAATAATTGAGTGGCATCTCATCCCCTTCGGAATAAAGATTAAATATTTTCTAAGAAACATAAGGTCCTCATAATCTAACCGATCAGCTTCATCTCCCAATGTTACCCAACTCATATTCTACAGTGTAGTCACTGAACCTCTCAAATGCCACATTCATTTGCAATTCTAGATGTTCTTTAAATGTGAATTTCTCAGCATGAACGCCAATGCGCAGCCCAACTCCTTGGCGAGCCAGCTTCGGTCTCCCGATCCCCCAGACAGAGCTAATAATTTCAAAAGCGATTTATATGTAGTTTAACCTGAGCGTCTGAGAATATGTCTTGTGCCCCAATTACCCGACATGAACAGCTAGAGCAGATCATTCTGTTCGTCCTTGCATTCCCAGTATTTTAAGGCAGCAGGAGCAGGTTGGCTTGATACATCCATCACAAAAGGAAATGGCAGATGATTGAAAATACCACACTTTCTCTTTAGACAATACCAGCCTCTGGGTGCACAAACCTTTAAGAGTTGTCCTACTTACCAGGCGACTAACATTCTACATTTACCTCACATTTATTGAGTAATTATAAAGTACCTACTATGCTTGACCCATTGGATGGGCTAGGGTTAAGGATGATAATAAAAATGAATGAGGCAGAGGCATGAAAAGCACAGTACAATTTTGTTGTACCGGCCACATAGAGAGGGGGCCACAGAATCACCTGGGGGAGCCAGGAAAGGACGGCATAAAAATTCACCGCCCTTGAGACACAAACCAAATATTAGGTCCCCAAATCAAGTAGCTAAAATGGAAACCCTAACTCTTTTTAGTGATCGCCTATCATCAAGTACCACCTGTTACATTAATTGTGAAATCATCACATTAAATGGAATATATTTCAAAACCTGACCCAAATTGAGGTATTTTACGTAAGTAAGAGACATACAGGGAAGAGGTAAAAGTTGGTTTACAGTTGTGAGTACATGAAACAGAGTTCATTCTGTGTGATTATTTATTAACTATTGTATTATTTTCCATACGAACAACTGTAAACCTACTTTTGTCCCACCCTGTATAAGAAATATCAAATAGGCAACAAGAAACTTGATTTCTACTCTTGTTCCACAAGAACGTTCTGTGATATTTGGGATGAATCACGTAAGGCTTTCTGGATCCCTGTTTTCTCCTCAATCAAATGGAAATGACAATAATATTTACCCTACCTATCTACCTACTCTGCCAGGTACTGAACCGGACCAGAATACAACAGATACAAAACGGCCTAAATAAAAAAATCACTTTAAAAATGGAAGGTACAATCCCAGTCACCAGTATTACGAAATGCATTTGTGACTGGTTCTTCACAAAGCAAAAAGATGGTACCTCTTTTATTATGTTTGTTTATTTTTGCTGAAGGCAAAATCATGTTCCTCATAAATTTAGAAGCTAGGAGCATGTGATAGAAACCATATATAAGGTAGACAAAGCCCACATTTTAAGCTTCATTTACTCCTTCCTTCATGAATCAGCCTATCCACAAATACATATTGAGCAGCATCCATTAACAGAACTTGTAAAGAAAAAACGTTATGTGAGGTGTTATAAAAGATTCAACAATATGTGAAATGATCTAACCTCAGGATGCTTAAGATATTTTCAGAAAAAATGGGTATGTATCTAGATGGAAGGATGGGTATATATATAGATATACACAAACATATATTTTAAGGGACACTAAAAATTAACAGCCATTTCATGTATGACTTATAAAATGCATGTCTAAATGAATATAGAAACATGAGCAAGGAATACTATAGCTCATTGAGCAAAGGGCCGTAGAATTCTTTGAGTCAAAGCTGAAGCTGCAAAAACAGAAATACAAAGTGCATAAAGATTTTTTTCCTGCCATTAATCTTTTCAGCCACGCATGGAAAAGAATATCATCAAAGAACAAACAAAAATGTAATTAGATGTGTTGGGGTGAGAGGAGAGAGGACATAGACAGGTCTGAGCTTTTTTTAATGTGAACCAGCAGAAGTATAAAGGTCCGGAGGCTGAAGGAAATAAAAGGGATGCTCTCATTCTACAAGAGAAACATCAGGGCAATTAGGGAGCTTTGTTCATAATATGGATAACACACATAATATGGATAAAACCCCCCAAATCCTTATATGGTAAAATCTGCATAAAATTTCCAAGTTAGGAAATAGTTGAGGAAATTTTTTCAATGTTCCCTATTATGCAGTTAAAAATAAGCCAGTATCTCAGTTGGAAGATGTCTACACTAAATACATTGCTTCTTGGAGCTAGTTATGTTTGAATTAATTTCCATATTGCAGTTGCTAACCAGGGAGCTCATCAGTCACTCCCTGGGTGTTACTGGTGGCTTACCGTTTATTTGGATCCTTTATCAAGAGCCCTGAAAGCAATGATTTTGCATCTGAAGAGAGTGTTCGAGGAAACTTAATGTCTTCCATTAGTATTAGTTCAAAAAGTTTCTCGTGGTCCTGGTTGTAGAAGGGTAGCCTCCCGCACATCATTTCATACATGACGACCCCCAGGCCCCACCAGTCCACAGCCCGGCCATAGTCATTGTCTTCTAACACCTGAAAGTGAGACCAGGAGGAAGATTAATTATGACGTATCAACTTGTAAAATATTATTGATAAAACAGGAGATTTGTACAAGACAATGAATTCTAACTTGCAAAGCCTAGGTAGGCAATTTTTATATCTTGGGGTTGAAACCATGAAGCATCCTATGAAAGATATAAATCACACCAAGTATTTGAAATGTTCCATAGACACAGAAATGATCATACGACCAATTCCAAGGAAATGAGTATGTGAGTGCACTGAGGATTAAGTGGAAACCACTAGCAGATCTGCGTATTTTCTTTTAGGCCTACTTAATTTTTCATTCTAGTTCACTGATGGGGACTTGAAGTAGGAACTTAAAGCTAAGGCATGCCAGACCCGGAGCCTCTATCGAACGAGCCTTATACACTATTGAACTGAGAAGAGCTGAGTGACACAAATTAAACTGTAAGCCATGTCACAGGCAAGAATGCAGGGCACGATCACCATGAAAATAGCCTGGAAAACTCTGGGAGGCCCCTACAGGTTTAAACTCAGGAAGTACTTAGTCAACAAGGTGACTATGAAGGTGTATTGTCTGGGCTATAATACACGTGAGTATCCAAAGCTTCAGTACCCCACGACAGTTTCTGTTAAACACAAACAACAGGAATCAGGGACTCAATACCTGTCTAATATATACCTTAAATTTGCTTTGCAAAACATAGGACATACAACACAAATTTAGGAAGAAATGACATTAAAGTATCAGGTTCTGTTAGAGTGACCTGTTCGCATCGGAAAATGTTAACTTGCCATTTCGCTTGGGAAAAACATGGTATCTTTTTATTAGATGTGTTCCTCATCCAGTGCAATTTTCTTCATTTATTTGGAACTTTCATTATTTTATTTTAAATTATTATATTTGAATCATCTTAAAGCTTACTTTTCTGGATCCTCTTAGCTTTGGAATAAACCAATCAACACAACCATACACATAGAATTTAGTGATTAAAAAACTCTTCTAACTGATTACATAAGAGAGAATTTGATGCAGAACAAAGCAGTGCTCACATGCCAACCTTTCTTAGTTTGAAATAAGTAAATACACTGTTAAAAGTTGAAAGTTACTCCTATGTGGCTTTTATTTAAAATTGACCAGTAATTTCATAGAATTACACATGACATTTGGGATAGTGAAGGCTCTTTGGCAGACAGGGTATTTAAAGATGGAGCATATACTTTCAAGAAAAAACTATGTTACTTGAAGATATATTTAGTAGTGATTTCAAGCGCTCTGAAAGATTTTTAATTCAACTGTATGACTGTTTTGTGGCTGAAGAAGTCTGGGAACGAGCAACGCTGGCAACAGACAAATGCAAGTCCAGTCTCACGTGCTCCAAGAATCTTTTGTAAATCACAAACTAAGCAAAATATTTTCAGGAAAAACAGCAAATTCTCATCTTTAGCTTTGGCCGAAAAAAAATTTCAAATGCTTATTTGTTTGAAATGAGTAATGTGATGTGTGAGACCATAGAGAAAACAAGAAATAACCTAACGAAGCAGAGAAATTCCACTTGTGTACTTAAGTCAAAGAAAATGCTGTAATATACATTGTTTTAAATACCAGTGATTTTTGATTATTCAGGACTCTCCCCACTGTCCAATTAGTTAAATGCCTTGTTTGAGGGCCTTTTTCTAATAGATCCAGGATTTTACCTAATAACAAAAATTCAAAATCTAAGTAACCTTTCTCTGCATTCCTACAACACCAACAGAACACAGGCACACACAAAAAAGAGCCAAATGCGGTTTTTAACCTCTTTTTTCATAAAACCATAAAAAGCATAAAAGCTGGATTAACTGCCTCCCGAACCCACATTTCACCAGCCGGGTTCTCTTCCCCAGCTGGCAGAACTGGCAATCCTTTATTTTTGTTTAAATACCTGGTTTGCAGCCAGAAGGGAAAGTGAGTGCATTAAAAAAAAAAAAGGGGGGGGGGTTTATTTTTGAAGAGAAATAAGCTTTTGAAAAATAAAACTGCATTGTAAAAAAATCTGTTTGATAAAATAAAATGTATTTTATTTAGCTTTGTAAAATGAATACTGACTCTCCAACTAAGTGGTTTTGCTTCTGAACATAATGTGCTTTAATTGATATAGAGATAGAATGCTACAATTAGAACTGCTTGCTGAATCACTTTGTACTGAACAAATTTGATGTAATGTATTATCTTCTTGACACACGAGCTTAAGCTATGTTAAGGAGAAAACACCCTAAAAGCTCAACCAGGCTTCTTGGTTGCTATCAATTAAGAAGACAGATTTCCGTTCAAAGCCTACCTCCAAACAGCTGGAAGATGAAATACACAGGAAATAAAAGTGATTCTGATATTTTATATGTGGATATATAACATAAAACATGTTATCACTATTCATAAAATGTCTTTTCACTCTCCTTCAATAGAAATTATTTCAAAATAGTACTAGGAAATACTCTAGAAATTCCAGAATGGACTTCAATCCACACCCTCATTTATATGACTTTTGGAAGATAATTTTCTCCCTTACTCAAAGCACTTCTTTTTCCAAAACAGCAGAAACATACAAAATTTACATTCTTTAACCTGTGAGTTGAAATTCCTTCTGGTCACCTCTGAGGATTTTTTTTTTCTTTTCTTTTTTTCTTTCCTGGCATGTGGCCTTGAGAACCGATGCGAAGACATGACCAAGGGTGAAGGTACAATGGCGGTGAGCTCTTCAGCTCTGTGACAACGCCATGTGTCATCCTCTTGGGATAGAAACGCAGACCAAAACCTACTCCTAGAGAAACATCCACTAAAAGACTTATCTTAAGAAATGAATCTAAAGAAAGCATCTCTAGACCCTAAAGTCAATGCTGCTGACATTTCTCTGAACTCAAGGTTTAGGTACGGATGTAGACAGTTGGTATTTCCTCCTATTACCACTGTTCTCTGGGACCACAGGTGTAGCTTTACTTTGTAACGACACTGAACACAAACGCCCAAACAGACATAAAGGACGAGAGAGGATCCGGAACACGAAAGGAAATGCAACTGTTAAAAATATGATGATGAGCCACATCAAAGCCACACCTAAACAGCACACATGCTGGACAAGGTGTAGTCTCATTGTTTCCACCAGGACCCAGAAATTGCTTCAATTTCCGATCAAATAAAACCGAAGATTCAAGGAGGGCACAGCAGGTACCAATTACTATTAAATATTCCGGTAACATTTGATCAATATTTGAGGGAGATGCTTTCATTTATAAAACAACCAGGTGAGTTTTAAAAAAATCACCATAAATAGCTCTTGAATGGTAACTCATTCAAAAAATGATATTAAATAATAAACTATGTATTTTAAAATAATACCATCAATTAAAATTCCCAGTGTAAATATTGATTTGGCTAATAGTCACTTCCAGAAAACATGTTCACTCCAATGTTCCTTTACTGTTAGTATTTACTGGAAGGTCAAAGGACGGCCTCCCTCTGCTTGTCTGCGTGCCCACGCAATACACCCAGGCAAGCAACGGTGAGGAGGCTACGCGTGCCCTACAGTGGCTTAGTGCTCAATCAATAATCCTGACAGAACAGATGGGGGAAAAAGTTAAACATCTAAACAAACTGTCTGCCCACCTATGTTGTGAAAGTAAACTGCGAACTTGGATGAACCAATTTACCACTAATTCAAAAAAAACTTTTTTCTGGCAACCTTTACATTTCAGGTAGCTGATATGTGTGTGTTTTATATACATACATGCTCTTACATACTTTATCATTTATGGGAGCTCTTCACATTTTCTTAACATCACAGAAATTTGCTTTAAAAAGACCCATAAATATTCTAATTCACATTCTATAATGTACTTCAGCTTCCGGAGAAGCATATATGTCATGGAATTATGGATTCCATGGTCTCTCAGCATTTTTTCCATAAATATATATCCTCTAATAATTTTTAAGAGACTATAACTGCCACCTGCTGGGAATTAGAAGGCTGTAAGCCTTGTGGCTAGCTCCTCCCAGCTTCACACACATCTCCTGCACACAGCTAACATCGGACCTTCCAGAGCAATCTCTGGCTACAATAGGCAACGATCTTGAACAAGACAAACCTGCGTGGGTATAACACTGGTGACTAAATAATACTTAACGCATACCTGCCCAGCGATTTCTATACTTCCTTTTTATTCTGAAGCAACATATGTTATGGGATTCCAAGAAACTGGGTCTTTGTAACCCAAGTAAAAATGGCCATTGTAAAATGCTACAGGCTATCCCTAGAGTTATCAGTTACATTATTTTTGTATACGTTCTTATGCTTTGAAAAATTTAAAAATGAAATATATGCTAAACTGGAACCCTTCCAAAGTATTAAATGCAAATAAAGGACCACATGACAATGAAAAAAAAATGCCTTCAGGTGAAAAATAGCTACTACAAGAACCGACAGACCAAGTAAAACCTGCTACTTACAAACACTGACAGACGTCAACACTGAACTAAAAAATACCACTTTGATTCATATTTTTAAAATGTTCAATTTGGGGACAAAATGGGATGGTTTTTAATACCCAGAAAACAGTATAAATAGTAAGTAGACACATATGACAAGGGTTCTTAAATATGGATTCTAATTACAAAGCACACAACTTCTACCTGAACTAAGGACTTATAATCTGTCCCTTAATATTGGTGAGGAGGCCTGTCTGGAACTATCAGGAAGGCGAAGGCTTTCAGAAGTACCTTAAGGACAGGTGTTACATGCATGCTTAATAATTAACAAACTATTAGAGATGTACACAGTTTTAGAAAGGCTACCAATGCAACTTTTCATTTTCACGAAAATCTTCCACGTTTTAAGACTTAGTTTCACAATCTGGTAGAAACAGCAGAATTTTTTCCAAGGTTAAGCAAAATGTAAGTATGTGTGCTATACTATTTTTACCTACAGATCAAATGTGCAAACCTAAGTAACTTTGGCCTCACTTATTTCTCTTAAGATCTCTGAAAGATAGTATTGACAGAACCCAGAAAATGACACCTTTTAAATTTCTTCTTTCTTGTATTTAAAATAAGTAAAATTGCATTCAATACACTTAAGTTCAGCTAGATTCTAACTAACCCCCTCTCTCCCTACCTACACCAGTCCATGCTGCCAACTACCTTTACTCTTAATTTATATGATTTTCCCAACTCATTCTAAAGAAGTTAATTTCTATCTTTGGCTTTAAATGTATATAGAATTTAATTTCTATTTTCACTATTACCTATATAGCATTATAATGACTTTGAGTGAATCTTTGTATCAAAATAGTTATCAACATATCTGGTCTATTTCAGATATTTTCAAAATATGGATTATATAAGATATATTAAACACAGTAGGTTTTACAAGAGAAATGAATAAAATGACAGTAAGTGAATATTTCCTAAAAATGAGGTTCTAAAAACTAAAAATGCATCAAATACATTTTCAGCCACTGGAAAAAAAAATTTATTTTACACTTATATGAAACAAAATTATAAACATTTTTTTCTCTGAATAGTAACCACCCTAGAGGCTACATATTTTCCAAAAACCAACTCATTTTTTGCAATCTTTTTTGTTAGTTCTAACTTGATTATCAAATAATTTTTATTTTTACACTATTACAGAAGTGCATTTCTCTAGGTTTCCAAAACCACCTTATTCAACCTTCCCCATCTGTCACCATCTGCTTCTTTTTAGCATGTACTTTTTGTGTGATCACATAAACATGTGAAAAATAACTAACATTCAGATGATTATCTGCTGGTACATTTGAGGACTGGGCATAATAAAACTGAACTGCCAAAACGTACTTAACACTTTTAATTTTGTTGGGTCTTGCATGTAAGCTACATTTGATTTTCAGACTGTTTTACAGTTGGAAAGTTGATCAGGTACTGCTAACTCAAGAGCGAAGCTGAGACTAAATAATTAGCACCGCATAAAAGGGTTTGGGTTCAACGCGAGCCAGCTCAAATAATAAAACTTAACAGTAAGGCTTTAGACATGATTTCTAATTTCTTTTTGAAATTTCTAGGTGTGAAAACAGAATATAGTTTGCACAACCACATTCCCCTCAAAATAGATTCTTGTCCATAATGCGTGGCAGGTCAAGTTCATTGCCTTCTAATCAGTAAGGGCAAAAACGCATTCATTTATAACTATAGATACAAGTGCGTTTGAGAGCTGTCGTATACTAAACGCCTAGGTTGTATGCCTGCTAGGACTACATTTCTGCAATCTCTTAAGAAATACATGACCTCCCTCCCATGCCCCTATGACACCAAACATCTATAATTCTTCGTCAAAAGAGGTAAGGGAACAAATATTTTTAAAATACTCTGTTTTCAACAAATGGCATTTTTATACTGTAAGACTTGTTTTCCCTGACGGTCTTTGCCAGAAGAAGAAACTTGAGATCATTTAAAACTTAAGTTTATTTACAAATCGGCTATATATCTGATATATAAGACAGTTAATTAGTTTTGAACTGATTTTTAATAGTCTTTCTGAAGCATTTTTAAAATACCCTTCCCCTGTCTTTCAAGAGCAAAGCGTTTCTACCAGATAAAAATAACTGAAAAGGTAGAGAAATCTCTCTATCACGTGTACACTTCTACAAGGAGAGAAGAAGGGAAAATGCCGACAGTGAGCAGTTCTAGAGAAGCAGTACTCAGGAATGTGCTCCAGGTCTGATCAACAGCCATTACTCAGAGGCCGTCAAGAAAAGCCTGGATCAACACGGGTGAGTACTAGAAATTTCAGGGCTCAAGAGACATGTGAGACACCATGTGAAGTAGGGAAAGAGTGAGTTTCAGCCCCGGCCCGTTCCTCCCCAACTCTGGCCATCTGATCGCAACGTCGCCTTGCTCTCAATTCAGAAGTGACTATCCTTTCTCCCTGAGACGTGACCTAAACCGCATTCCCATCCTGTCCCCGTGGCCCACCTCTGCTGTTCCTGCTGCCACCGGACCCTCCCCTCAGCTCCCACTTCTCCCCTTTCCCTCCGCCACCCTCCGCGCACCTCCAGTGGAGCAATTAGGGTCTGCACTGCAATAATTCCTCTCCATATCTTATCACCTTAGTCAACAGTAGGATACTTGAGGACAGAAACCTTTCCTTACTATCTTTGTATTCCCAGCATCTAATCTAATGCATGGCACCTAATAAATATTCAACAAATATTTCCTTAATGAATGGGTGAGTGTTCTTAGTGAAATGGTCGATATCAAAGACCAGAAAAAGGACCTAAACTCTTGTTTGTAAAAGGAAGAGTAAACACATTCAAAGTTACCCTGATTTAACAAATATGCAGTATTTGACATAAATACTTAAAATACAGGAATTAAAATTGCATGAGAAATTAGTTGTTTTGAGAGGTGTCATCCTCAAACAGTAACAAGGATCACTCTCCTTGATAAAAATGAGGTGTCAGGATTTTAATTATGAATCGGCACGTAACAGCCATAGGTATGGAAACTGTTTTTAAAGACCAGGCTTCTGCAATATTAAAGTGGATATATAAACACACACACAGACATGTTTTCTTACTCGTCTTTAAAAAGAAATTAGCCATTTCTTGTGAACTGTAAACTTTCTATTTAGAAACAATGGGGTGGGCCCTCCTTGCATTAAATTCTTGGTTTTGTTCTTCAGTTGATGACATTTGCATAGAGAACAATATCTCAGTTTCTTAGGAGATCATCTGCTTTTAAAATGAGAAGTATTTATCTTTTCCAGAAATAATTTCCCCTAATTGTGACACAGCTGATTTTGTTATTCTAAACATGGGACAGCATCACCCATGGCAAATGTATAGCAGTGGAAACTGAACTCCAGAGAAACAAAAAATCTGTTTTTCACGACATTCACAAAACATTCCTAGTCCACAGCAAGTTCCCTGAGAGCAGTTTCCTTTGTATCTTGTTCCCTGTAACCACATGGCCCAGAAAAATACCCAATACATAGCAGACACGCCATCTACATCTGCAGAATAAACAAAGAAATGAGTTGTTCTGGAACCCTCAGCATGAGGTCGTCAGTTGGAGCTGTTCTGGTCTGAATTCCAAACTGTAGCTACTGCCATTTCATTAACTCTCCTAATGAGATACTTTCCAATAATTATGAAACCCGACAATACTACAAATCCAAATGATCTGCTTGTTTGTTTCTAAGGAAAATTCAAATGGTACATACAACTGTAAACAATTTTGAAGTCATTCAATTATTCCGTTTTAATAAATGAATCAAAGGGCATCATCAAAAAATAAAATGTACATGGCCAGCAACTAAAAATGGACTTTAGTTAGTACCTTTGTGCTCATAAAGTTTATAAAATTTAACGTGTATGTGTATCCTTGCCCTATAATATCATGTTAAACAAGTGACAGGCCCTGGCCGATGTGGCTCGGTGGGTTGGGCATTGTCCCATAAAGCAAAATGTCACTGGTTCAGGGCACATTTCTGGGTTGCAGGCGAAGACAAGCGTGGTGTGTGGTTGGGGCACGTACGAGACAATCCGTCGATGTTTCTCTCTCACATCAATGTCTCCCTCTCTTTCTCCCTCCCTTCTTTTCTCTCCAAAAATATACAAATAAAATCTTTAAAAAAGAAGTGGGAGCAAAATAAGATTTGATTCATATTGAAATTCAGGTGAAAACAGGAGATGCTGCCATTCTTGAAGGCTTAGACGGCTTCCTGTGCAGAGCACCGTGCCAGGTTCCCTCCCCGGGGCTGGAGCCACGCCCGCCTACCTCCGGGGCCAGGTACTCTGGTGTCCCACAGAACGTCTTCATCGTGGCCGCGTCTGTGATCCCTTCTTTGCAAAGTCCGAAGTCTGTAATTTTTATGTGGCCATCTTTGTCCAGCATCAAATTCTCCAGCTGTATAGGAAGGAAAATAACATGATTGGTTCTACACTCTTGAAATACAGGAAAATACTTTCTTGACACCACTATTGAATGCTGAGGATACTTTGGAAAGTACTGAGATACTTTGGAAAGAGGGCACAGTTGTTGTGAATAGAGCTCTCAACACTTATAAACGCTGTAGCTTTTTAATGTGTATGTAAAATGAAATACATTTTATTAAATACTTTGATAACAAAATTATCAATTTTTTAAACCAATGGGGGTAAGAGTCATTATTGTGTAAGTTCTAAGAACTAAAGCCTAATCAACTTTTCAAAACAAAAACCAATCTTCTTTGATTGTAAATGAATTGGATTGAAACAACCCCAAAGAAATGAGCGTCTTCTTCTGGATATATACAGATGGCCTTCAACATTTTTTCCTGGGGATCTACTGCTATTATAAAATACTCATTTGCAGAAGCATTTTTTTTGGTGATTGTTGTAGTCAAACCTAAATCTTATTTTCCAAGGTAAGACAGTATTTCCTTTTGCAGTTCTTTGTAGAAAAGAAATATCAACCATTTTAAACATAAAAAGAATTATCCAACATTCAACAGTTAATGAAAATATACAGCACAAATATTATCCAGCTGGAATCTCTTTGAAGATCTTTGAAGATGAAAAACCAAAAAGAATCTAAAGACTTAACCAAGTAGTAACATCATCTGCCTCACAAAAATCTTCTAAAAAACTAAACATAAAAGTTCTTTTATTATCTAAATTCAGAAATCTTGCATCTTCCATGTGCTCCTCTACTAACTAGAACCTAAAAATCAAGGCTAATTTACACAAAAGGCAGTAAGTCCTGAAGCCAAAAACCAAACAGAAACTTCCAGAAAGTGTCTCTGTCTACTTTTCTTTCTCCCCATGATCTCCTTCTCTCTGCCTTAGTCTGTCTGTCTCTTCTTCATGCTTCTGGTTTGCTCCCGTTTTCCTTCTTTCTTCCCCCTCTCCTAACTTGCCACAATGAGGAACACAAGTATGTATTGGAGGGACTGTTGTTTTGTCGAATAAAAACATCCATGCCCTGTTCCTAATTTTTAAGAAAACGCTTATGGTTTTAATATAGCAATATATTATAATAAATATAAACACAACCAAATTAAGTTCAAACACTGTATAATCTTTTAAAAATATTTAATAAATGTTTCACCAATATGTAAGAACTTCTTATAAAATGTTCGGCATAAAATGTGAACGCACCGTCTACTCCACGCCTTCCCACTCCCTTCCGAGTCGGGGGTGGCATGCCGACCCTCCATCTGTGCTCTGTGGCCGTGGGAGAGCATTCCTGGACACACGGTATCAGGCACCGTTTCTCCACATGTTGACAAGGCCGTCGAGGCTATCTTGTCACGTATTTGAAATCCTGGCTCGTAACCAGTTCTCTACCTTAGATCTCATCTCTGAGCCTCACACCAAGCAAGGTTGGAGGGATGACGAATGAAATGAGGTGCAGGGACAGGGTTGGGTAAGGAACAGGTTGACAGTGACTGAGAGTCCTAGTTTTCCCTGGACTTAACGGGCTTCCTGGGACACAGGGCTTAAAAGTTCTGTAACCGGGGAAGCTCTGGGAAAACCAGCACAGCGGGTCACTCTCCTTGTTTCGTGAATCAGCTTTAAAAACTTACAATGATATATTTCGTAAGAAACAAGGGCAGCCAAAAGGATGACTTTGAGAGATGGGGCGAGGGGTCATGACGATGGGGTAAGAGTATGGGTCCCTAGAGAACTCACACGTATATTCAAGCTCCATCCCTTACTTCCTGTGTGACCTTGGGCTACTGGTTTCTATGTGCCTCAACGTCATCTATAAAACAGAGGCAAATAACAGTAACAACCTAATGTGATTGTTCTGAGAATTAAGTGAGCAACTGGCTGCAGAACTTAACCCCCTAAGCAGTCAGTACATGCATTGATCATTATTAAACAGAGTGTTTAGTGGTCAATGTCTAAGTATCAAAATGGCATGCATTCTTCTAGATGACACTGTATTTTAAAGCAAAGTACAAAAGTGCAGGAACAAAACCCTATAAAACACTTTTGTCCCCTCTGTGACTTCAGTAAAAACACTTTTTAATAAGCAATAGTTCCTTCTGAAAAAACCAACAAAGCATTTCATAATTTTAAAGCCAGCTATGACAAGAGGGTCCACCTTTTTCCATCAATTATTTTTCTTCTCTCACCATCCAGAAATATTTTGCTGAGCATGGACGACAAAAACAACTTATCCTTAGACAGTACAAATGAAAGTCAGAGATGTGTCACCTTAAAAAATACCCCCAAATCCAATGTGCATAAAGATCTAGTCTTGTTAAAAAATAGTTATTTTACACAGATGCATAATGAAGCTTCTGGAACATGTAAGAACCATTAGTATCGTGAAGGATGCAGAGAATCACCTGGAAGTCTTTTCAAAGCAGATCAAAGATCAAGACACAACAAGAGACCAGGCCCTCGCTTCCTGCTTCCTTAGCGCATCCAACACTAAGGCCGACAGGGTTAGCCATGCATCCCTAGCAACACTTCCACCACGTAAGGGAGGAAGACAGGTATTTACAAATGATCTTTCTTTGCTTCTCTCTCCTCAGTCTCATGGCTTTGCTTCTTTCTTTAGTTAGCCATACAATGCACGGTGGGTACTGTTACCAGCCGGTCAGGTACTCTCTGCTTAGAAAACTTCAATGTACCCGCTTTGTCGCCACCGCCAGTCCTAGTTTACCAGAGTGTTATGTACACTTAGCGGAGGCACCCACTGGCAAAGGCAACGATGAAGAAAAACAGGAGGCTTGAGAGACAAAATTATATATGAAAATCTGGTTATGCTCACTAGTTGTATGAGAGCGTTGTTGATCTAACAGTTCACGCTTCGAGAAGAGAAAAACTATTAGATATATACATATACGTCACGGAGTTTCTGTAAGAAGGCCACGCTTTTCACCCAGTTGACGTGAGCAGGCTTTATATGTTAAAGGGTTTGATTCACGGTGTATATGAAAAAATGCTAGTGTTGGAAATCTTTTTCCCTTGTGTTTTGTGGATGGGATATTATAGCAAGGAAGTACTGTGGTCCCTCCTGTTCTTGCTGGTACCTAAAATAAAGTTAAACTCCAGAAATCCTTAGTTTCTTAGAAATCCTGTTAATACAGGGCTTCTGAAACTTTTACTGCACTTTCTAATACAATGAAGTTTGTAGGGAGTTCCAGGGCCAGCGGCCAGGCTGCCCGAGGCCGGAAGGGATGGCCCGGGCCCCTCTAAGCACCCGTGGGCGGAGGGAGGTCACGGCTGGAGCCCACCTGGAGCCCGAGAGGCACACAGGCCGGCAAGCTCTGCTCTAACACTCGCCAAGGTGGCTACTAGAAAGTATCAATGTTTGTAAAAGTTTCTAATAGAATATTCTAATATATAGTAGTATATCTTTTAGGTGCCATTTTATTTCAATGGCTGACATTGTGCTTAAACTAAGGAATGAACACAGCAGCTCCTAAGGGCCCCGATGACTGTCATGCGACATAAGCAAACAACGCCTTCACTCGCTCCGAGCCCCCACTTGAGCGCAGCTACCCCGCACTCAGTGACGGGTGGCCAGGCTGCCGGGGGCCAAGCCTGCAGTGATGAGTCCCTCCTGCACACGGCGCCAAGGTGCCCGCACGTCTCACGGGCTGACCTGCAGGGATCGGTGACCACGGGATCAGAGAGCATGCGGAAGCCCCAAATGGCGAACATTTCTTCGCTTCCACCCCTCCTGAGCTGGAAAAGGAGTCATGTTGTACAACAGCGAAGAGCCCAATGGGTTGCTAAACAATTTAAGAATTTACTACAGATCAGAAACAGAGCCCAAGGATACGATTTAATTTTTGAGATGGGAGAGGTTTTCCTAACAGCAGTGGCTTCAAACTTCTGTAGAAGAGGGAATCCCGAGGGGCTGTCTGGTCAGAAGTGGCAGCTGGGCGAGGTGTCTTGAGACTGAGCAGGGGAGGGGGACTGGTTGTTTCCATTCAGACCCTGAGTTTACTGGGGGTGAACGGCAGGGAGCTGATGGGAGTGGCGGTAAACAATGCTCTGAACCCACCCCACGGCACCGGCACCGAGTCCTAGGAAGATCTAAATCTATTTGAATAAACTCAAGGTCATTAATAAGGAGATGATAGAGGTGAATCTGAGACCCATCAAAGTGGATACCTAAGTCGGTTTTGGGTGATGTTTTTAGATATATCTAGAATAAACCTATTTAAAACATTCATTCTCTGATCCTTGACAACTTTATTCGATTTTAGGTTCACTCTCCCAGAGTTCTCAGTGCACTTCCCCATCTAGATTCCATTTCAACTCTGGAATGATGTAATGGAAAGAGTGTCAGACCTGGAGGAAGGATTCATGGGCTCCAATAATCCTATGTCACCAACTTAGTCCATTACTTTAAGTCACTTACTAGGCTTCTAGAAGTCAGTGACCTCCCCTGTCAACTAAGGATCAGCTCTAAAGTTCTATTATACCACCTAAGGGTCTCACGCTATTATATGTAATCCTGTGCAGTATGGATATAAATCACATTTGTACACATTTTTAATGTTTGGCTGTTTACACTGTATGTATTCTTCTTGGTGTTTGTTAATGTTTCTGTCCCATGCTTCATATATTTACTTAAGACTTCTAAAGTAAGGGTATATTTAAAAAAGTAAACTTAGCAGAGCTCTCTTAATTCTTTAGCAAAGTTAGTGTTCCATGCATATGGTAACTGCATGACTTACAGTCATACATGAAGTAGGTTCTTTATGTTGCGGTTTAATAAATTTAGTATTTCCATCATCAGTATATGGATGAGGCAATGAAAATCATATTAATGAACTTCAGTACCCCAATGTGTTTATGGTAATATTGTCAATGGTAAATATTGACCAAGCCTATCTTGATTACACCGTAGTTTATACAATGCTAACATTCTTTTCTTTTTTCTTTAGGCTAATAATTCTACCTTCCAGCTTCAAACATTTTAGACATGGTACCAAGTACCTCAAAACTTATTCCCATTTCCTTCAAGCCAGGATGTCACCCCCCTTTGCCCTACAAAGATAATTCATCAAATATAAAGTGGGAGGGAAGGGAGTCGATTCAGGCAGAGGATAGAGAATCGTTTCTCAGTAAATTTGGAAATGCCATATAACGGACGTTGTCACTTTTGTCATGCCATATAACTAATTTCCTTTTTTAAGAACTCTCAATTCAAGACATTGAAACGTTATAGGATTATTTGGCCATGCAGACATCAGATACAGGGATGTCGAATTCTGTCACATTCCTGGTTATAAAAAGCTTCAGGCTAAACATGACCCCGCTGTGGACTGACAGTCATCTGTGGTCCGCTGTGGCACTTGGTTGGCCATCCCTGATCTAGTTATAGTCACATGGTTCCTTTTTCCTAAATCCAGTATTTTATAGCTTCTTTTAAACTATGATTAATGATGACATTATGCAAACATACATACTCTATTTCACTGTCATCGTGTAAGATCGTACTTTGCGAGAGAGTTATTCCTTAGGGTTGTTTATCACGTAAAGGAACATGATAGGAACATCTTGAAATAACCTTGACAACTGCTTAAATAATTAGATAACTTAAGGGTCATGGGTGTTTAAAAAAGAGTGAGAAGAGAGTGAGCAGGTCCTTGTGGTTTCTTCTTTATGCCATGATAGGGATACAAACAACTTTAGAAAAGACTCACGTAACTCCTATTTCTCAAAATCCAATTATATCTTAAATAAACTAGTATTTGATAAATAAATAAAGCAATTTTCTGTCAGATTTTAATAGGTCAGCATTACTATATGGTTTACTTACTGAGAAAGCAAGACTCTCATATCTAGAATCTGCTCAACATGTGTCAGGGCGCACATTTCCTTGATATGGCCAATCTGAATCAAAACAACATCCGAAATCACTATACCTTTGATGGGTCAGTCCAGGAGCAAACTGTGGCCCGTGGGTGAAATCGAGCCTCTTGCAAAGAGACTATATGGGCAGCAAAGCCTAAATTATTTCCTATTTGACCTTTGCCCATCTCTGAGCTATTCGGAAGGTCTCATCTGGAGGAGACTTTGAGAAGTAAACTCACTCTTACCAATAAATACAGTACTTTTTAAAATGCAAGTTAAACAAATAAAAGGCTATATGAAAATGCTCCAGGTATTTCAACCCACCAAAAAATTAACAGCAAAATTAAACTGATTCTTTCCCTCCAATAAAGTCTTATTTAAGTTTCTTCATAATGCATCAGAGGATGTTAGACTATAATAAAGGAATTTATTTTAAAGCGTCACTTGCAAAGTGACTTGACTTCTAATCAGATGTGTAACACTACTCCAAACACCCACCGAAAACTGAAACTGTTCTTGGTAGATCATATTTCACCAAATCTTCTCCATCAAAAACTCAGACATAAAGGAACTTCCTACATATGAGTGAATGAAGCTTCCTTTCGAAGGCAGTAAAGTACATTATTAAACGGAATGCTTTTCTGCCCAATTAAATCTGCTTTTCTCCAAACTGTATAACTTTGTAATTACTTCGTTTGTCCCTCTAGTCTCTGCAAGAACAAATTTTGATTACTTTTTTTTTTTTTTACCTTGAGATCACGGTACACAATCTTCCCGGAATGCAGGTAGTCCAAGGCAGAGACGATTTCTGCACCGTAGAAACGTGTGCGGTCCTCAGAGAACACCCGCTCTCTCGACAAATGGAAAAACAGCTGCAGGGTAAACAGCAGGGACAGGATTGTAATAATTACTGATTTAGTGGGGAAATTAACACAAACATAAAACACCTCTCATCACCATATTGTGATGATAGATAGTGTACTCTCAGTGGACGCTCAGCACTCTTAGACAGCAGCTGGCTTATCTTTTCCAGGTTTCCAAGGGGAGACGGCGAGCTGTTAAATCAGCGTTTTAATCAATATACCAATCTTGTTTAAGGCGTTCTGCTTGCTACCCATTTAACCTTCAGTTACCGGAGGAAAAAAGTATGCATCACCGGATTGCATTTCCCCCTCACTAAGCTGTTGCTTTCACTCTTTCAAGGGTTGGGTATGGAGACATTATTCAAATAAATGAACACCAGCACAGATGAAACATTTCTATTTAATTATCTGATTTACATTTGATTTCAGAGAAAGGACTGCTGATTGGCTGAGGCTGATTTATGTGTGCTTGTTCTATCATCCATCTGTTGATTCATCACGGTATCTCCAGAAATGTTCTCAAAGTTTGAATCTGTGTTTTCTATGGTGAGAACCTGTAAAGCTTTAAGTTTTGCTTTTAGTCATGTCTGAAAGGGTCTGAGGAACTCTCATTATTCCCCTTACAAGGCTCAATGTCTATTCTTTCTATTTTCAAAATAAATTACAACACTGATCTTTTTTCTTATAGTCACTTAAACCAGAAGACCAGCCGTTTTCTAGTTGCTCTCCACTCAGCAGTCGACAAGTGTTTATTGGGTGCTCACTGTAGCCAAGCACCCGGCTCTCCATTTGGTCAGCTCTTTATTTAGGAAACGGCCTATTTTATCTCTCAGTTTGACTGAGGAGCTGGCCTCCGTTGTACCATTTCCCTGTATTAAGAAACCCTCAAGAACAATGACAGTTGTTGGCCAACACTGGGTACACTGCCAGGTATCACAGTAGATACTCAACCCACATCCTTGATTAAAGAAATGAACCCATCAGTCAAGGTACTCCTGCCTGCAAGATCAGAAATCAACTCTGCCTTCAAGTGGATTAGTGACTGTTGGTGCTTCTACAAATTTCTAACAAGTATGGTTAACAAGATTTGTTGCTTACAGACCAACCAAGACTTAGATAACATACAAGAGGTTCCCTACAGATTCCTTCCTCCATTTTCACACTTTCATGTCCACTTAAGAGTCTGTTATGATTCTGATGTAAACTTTATGTGGAGCCCCTTGTCATAGTAAAGAGAGACAGGTAATACCAGGCACCTGTTGCCAAAAAAGACTGGCTCAACATTAATAATAGCAGAACTAAAATATCAGGTAGTCAGTCTTGAAGGTTTAGTGCTATTTTATTGCCATATTTTATCAAATCTAAGATGCTACTGGCTAGGACTCCATCATTGTTTTATGGTAAGACAAAGGGAAAAAATCAATTATATCTATGACAGATATACTATGATAGTCATATATGATAGTCATATATCTATGACTAACAAACAGAAAAGGCATTCTGATCGCAAAGATTTTAAATGTGCCTGACAAAGGATCAAATATACTATGCCAAAAATCAAACCAATGTACACAATTACTCAGGGATATTTTTCAAAATTCATTTATTTTAGACAGGCATACATATAACCATTCAAACAAAGACAGGGAGAGAAAGAAACATGGCACGTCACTAAAACTACTCTGAGTAATTTCTAGGTTGAAATAATTTCTAGGTCAAAATAAATTTTGCCCTGCTTTATACAAAATATCACTAACTTTGATGAAGGAACCCTTGTAACCTCTACGTAGCTTTACAGTAGTGTTTTAATAGAATGAAAACAGTGGTTAAAGTTATACATTTTCTTAAAATAATGTCAAGCCTACTACCCACTCATCTACTGTACAAAGATATAGACGCTCCCTAAATCGATATAATACATGCAGGATTCTAGATCTTTATTTAGACCATGTATCTTCAGTTTGTCTCCCAGCCAATGTCTATAAAAATATATGCTAAAAAATTATACTGAAGGAGACTTCTATTTATTTCTCAATCTGCCGTCCTCTGATGTCTCCCTTTGCTACATGATGGAACTTATTTTTGTTACGATAGCCAAGAATTGCCAAGCCCAGTTACTGACAGTCTAGAGCCTTCTTCTTGTCTGCAACTCAGTGCAACACCTATGTGTCTCCTTTCTGAAACATAGCTCTGGCTTAGGCAAACCATTCTCCTCTGATTTTCTACCTGGCCCTCTGCACATTCTTTGGCTTTGAACCAACTTTCCATTTAGTGAGGATCAATTATTTTAAAGTCACTGTCTTGGGCACACAGGAGAGAAAAAGAGGACATATACAATGATTAAAACAATCCCTGACCTCAACATATTCAATGCAAATAAGGAGATAACATGCACAGATACAAACAAGAGAGATGTGTGATAAGTTTTCCAATTGTGGTAGTAAAAATGCTTTGGAGGCAAAGAATGATTAATCTTTATTGAGATGACCTCAGGAAACTGCACAATTAAAAATAGGATTTTTTTTAAAGGATGAAGTTTTTCACAATCAGAGGCTCTGAAGGGAAGCTTACAAAGGATTGGCTATTCAAATTTTATCCATCTTTATATTTCTAGCAGCCTAGTATAGTACCTGCACACATTAGGTAACTAGTAAATGTTTGTGAAAGAATTAATTCTAAAGAGAAGAAACAGCAATAGCAAGAAAACATTAAAGGAACACACACAGATGAAGAATGATACACATTCAGGTCAATGATAGGACTTGAGTAAAAAAAGAGGAGGCCACATTGTTTAGGACCTTGACTGCCAAGATATGGGCTTGAGATTTCTTCTGAGAGAAGGGGTGTCAAAGAGTTTGGGGTTAAAACAATTAGCATAATTTAAAAAAACGACTTGGGCAGCACCTGGAGAATCAATTATTTGGCTAAACACGCACAGAGTGCAACGAAAACCTTATTGAGCAGCTGTGAGCGCCGCTGTGTGAGGAGCCGTAGACACGCTGAGAGAGAATGGGAGCAACCCGCAAGGATGCCACTGTTTGATCAAAGCACCCAGATACACCAACAGTTCTACTAAAAATATGGTAGCTAGAAAATAGAGAGCACATTTGAATAAGGGAATGACAATATCAGAAGTTACAGACGTGCCAAATAAGAGCTTCAGAGGGACTTCAACTAGAGTGGTAGTGACGGGCATTTCAAGAGTCAAAATCCCAGAGGGGCCTTGCTTGCCCCGTTGGGGGTCAAGGGAGAGGACAACAATGCTGGGTTTCCCTGTGGGTGGCTGAGTGGATGTGGCAGCAGCGGAGTCGAGGAAAAAACTGGGGACAGGGACAGAAGAGCGATTGATTTTATTCTGACCTGTTAATATATAAATAAGCATTTGATGCCTTAGCTTTGAAATTAGGGGCCCCAAGGGTATAGAAGTAGACGTGGGAGTCATTGATATACAGACATTGTGAAAACCAAGGAAGAACAGTATAGCCCAGGAATTCAGTAAAAGCTGAAAAGAGAATTAAGCTCAGAATCTTAGGGTATCACTATGCACAAGGACAAAAAATAGGAAGCAGAGCAGGATACTGTGACAAAGTCCAGAGAGAAGTATACAAGGAAAGAAGAGTATATGTGAGGAATGAAGGAAAAGTCAGTTTCAGGAAGGATGTAACGTTTACCTGGCACAGACTGAGGTCTTGTGTTATCTTTCAAGGAACACAGGTCGTCCTTACATGAGCTCGGAAGGGAAAGTAAAGGTAGAAATGGTACAGGACTCTTTCAGGAAAAATGAATGAGCTGAGCCAAGATATTATGGAGACAGAAGATCTCTGCTGTGACATATTAAACAATGCCTTCAGGACAACTTTGGCCTGAAGAAACCGAGAGGTGCTATAAAAGCTACGATTCACACTAAAAGAGCAATGAAATCAGACAACCAGAAACAGGTTATTTTATAAGAATTTAATGTATGATAAACATTGATAATGACAGTATATGACAAAGCATATGAGAAAAAACGATTATTTAATAAATGGTGCCATAATAGCTGGTCTAATCTGGAGAAAAGTAAAATTTGATTTTCGTCTCACCTCAAAACAAAATAAATTTCAGATGTCATTAATGGTTAAATATAAAATATAATGCTATTTTTTTAAAACTTGAAAATACAAGTCACTAGTTATCTGATTGCAGGATGAAGAAGGATTTCCCAAGCAGAAAAGAAATGAAACAAATCCTAAGAGGGAAAACTGGTAAAATGAACTACATAGAATAGCAACAATATAAATAAAATTGAATATTTATAGCAAGTCTGACAACCCAAATGTCCACCGCCAGCAGACAGATGAGCAAATGTCGGCAGAGCCCATGTGTACGGATCGTAACTCAACAATGAAAGGAACAAACTACTGAGAAATGCAACAAAAGGCAAAATAGCCAAAACATTAGGCTGAGGAAAACAAGCAGACACAAAAGAGTACATATGGTATGCTCCATTTCTGCGAACTTTTAGAAACAGTCAATCAAATCTTTAGTGTCACATGTACATGTCTGAAAGCAGCGGTCTGTTAAGTACATCACAGTGTACGTAAAGCAAGGCCACTCTAGTGCACGCAGGCCATGGGGAAGTAATGGAAATAATCTAAAGGTTCAAAGATTTGGTGAGGCTTTAGTAAGTGATAGTAGCTCTACGTAACTAATTAGTAGACAACTAGTATGTATTTTATAACACTGAGTAAATTGGAAAATATATGGTATAAAAACAGGAAATATATAGGAACATGGTAATAGCAATTATTATCGCTATATGGTGAGATTTAGAGTGGTTTTTGTCTTGTTTTACATCTTGAAAATTATTTATAATTATTTGTTTACTCTCTGTTCCCCAGAACACTGCCTTCCTTAAGCGCCGAGGCCACCTGCCTTGTTCATGTCACCGAGAAACTCCTGACATAGCACAGTAACTAGCTTAGAACAAATGGTCAATAAATATTTTTTTTAATTGAACTGAAATAAAG